TGCACCAAAGAATCATTGAGTTGTGCCTAGTGACTTATTATGATTTCTGTTTATCTATCTTAATGTATTTGGTTATTGTGTGTCATGACGATGTGTTTAATGATTGTGTGTTTAATGACTTTGTTTAATGTTGTGTGCTTTATGACTACGTTTAATATTGTGTTTCATGACTATGTATAATTATTATGTACAGTTTAATGGCTATTTATCACTTATCTTTTCTCTCCGTTTTTTTTTTGTGAAAATGCTACTCACATTTGGTATTTAACTATTCACAAGTAACATAATCTATGTCTGATTCAACGACGGGTTGGGGCGAGGGTTGGGATGACGAACGGTCTCAATTACTTCCTACTTTACATGAACACACAACACAAGTATCACAGCTAAGTGTGTTAATGGGTTAGTATGTGACACCTTTTCTATGCAAACAGCCATGCAGAACTAGCAAACAAACATGTTATTTATGGGTTCAAGAACTTTTGCACGGGCATGAAGGACAGTCTAAGGAAATGTTTCGAATGGAAACAGAGACATTACATCAATTATGTTCTAAATTGGTTGAACATGGGTTGCAAAATTTGAAGTACATAGGTGTCCATGAATCTGTTGCCATGTTCTTGAATACAATTGTGCATGGTCAGTGTAATAGAATGATTCAAGAAAGGTTTCAACGTTCAGGAGAAATTGTCAGTCGGCATTTTCATAAAGTGTTGGATGCTTGCCTCAATTTATCTTGAGAAAATATCAGGCCCACTAATTGCCACCCAAAAATAGCAAATGGTCCACGATACTTTTCATTTTTTAAGGATGCACTTGGCACAATTGATGGCACCCACATAAAATGTCAAGTTAGTCAAGCTAGGCAAGACAAATATATTGGGAGGAAGGAATTTCTGAGTCAAAATGTCATGGGCGTATGCGATTGGGATATGTGCTTCACATTCGTGTTGGCGGGCTGGGAAGGTAGTGCACATGATGGTAGTGTCTTTCAATCTGCTATTTCAACTCCATCCATGAATTTCCCTTATCCACCTGAAGGTATGTTTCTGTAAATTTCAAATCAATTATTTTAAAATTAAGCTTCAATTGCATTATTTTCACCTCAACATAATTGAGTCATGATTTTCTAGGCAAATTTTATTTGGTTGATGCTGGTTATTCATCACAAGTGGGATACCTTGGCTCGTACAGACGTGAGCGCTATCACCTTCCAGACTTTAATCGTCAGCCAAGATTTAGAAATGAGAATGAGGCCTTCAATTATTATCATTTAAGTTTGAGATGCACTATTGAAAGAACTTTTGGGGTTTGGAAGAATAGGTTTGCAATCTCAAGAGGCATGCTCATATTCAAGTTTCAAGCACAGGTCTGTATAGTTTGTGCAACAATGGCTGTCCATAATTTTATCAGGCAAAATTCTCCAATTGATGACCGCTTTATACAAGTTGAGCGTGAAAGTATAATAGATGAAGACAATAATCATTCAGCTGGCGAGATATCCTCGTCAAGTTTAATATCTACCGCACAAATGAATCGTGTTTGTGACTCAATTAGAGGCCAAATTGTGCAAAGCTTATGATCTAATTAGTTATGTGATTTTATTTACTTTAATTAGAGACCAAATGAATTTTAATTTAATTTATGTTCTTGTTTGTCCATTATATATATATATTTAATTAAGTACGATCTAATTACTTATGTAATTTCATTTACTCTAATTAGAGACTAAATGAATTTTAATTTATGTTCATGTTTGTCCATTATATATAGTTAATTAATTATCTACAATGTGTTTTTAAATTTTTTCCGGTAACAAATATTTTTATTTTATAATCTCACAAATAAACTATTTTTATTTTATCATAATAATTTTAGATATTTTTTTTAACAATTATCACATTAAAAATATTAAACACTACTATTCAATAAAGTATATGCCATTTTCAGTCATTTTACAACTGAACTAACTTTTCTATTCATCCAAACAACTTTTAACTTTTCCAACTAACTTTTTAAAAGCACCTATCCAAACATACCATAACTGACTTTTACTCTAATTTTAGTTACAAAAGTCAGTTGGATTAGAAGTCAATTTTGCCTAATATCAATCCAAACATATACAAGATAATGCTAAGACCTGATCATTCCCTTCCAATCTTGTCCATCCCACTGGAGCCATGAGCACTCACACATAAACCAATAAGAAATCACCTCATGATTGGCCTGGGCCAAGGTTTTCCAAATCAAGAGATTTACCTAACTAGATGTATAGAGTTCGTGATTGGAAATTGGTATATGACTCTCTTTTACCTTATGTTTGGTAACAGAAAATTGGAGTAGAGGGGAAGAAAGAGAAGGAATGGAAAATTTTTAATGACTTTGATTTAAAAACTTTGAGAACTGGAATTTTAAAATTTTAATAAAAAGAAGGTGTAACATAAAAGAATAATAACATTTAATTAGAAATTTTTAACCCTACTGTTTAAATTTTTTTAAATCGAACTTATTAAAATTTTTCCTTCTTCATTACTTTCATTTTCTTTGTACCAAATCAACCTAAAGACAAAGCGGATGTATTCAATGCCCCATACTTCATTATAAACCCAACCAAAAACAAAAAATAAAAGGAATAGGGCTCTTTGAGTGCCATCCAACGCGTACAGTGATATGGCGTACTGCAGTATCGCGTGATGGAAAAATACAAGAAATAAATGACCATAACAATCAACCTATCCAACCTAATACAGCAAGCGCATCACCTCGTCTTGCAATATTCACATGCAAGCATACTTGAAGAAATAAAGTTCATAAGTAGCGTAACCAATACAATTTTAATATTAGTTCCGGTCTTTGATACAAAGTTTATTTTGTAATGTAATTTTACACTATAAATTAGATATTATATTTCAAACCGGCAGTAGTATAATACTATTTTCAGTTCTTAATATAAGACTTTATTTGAGTTTTATTTTGGTTCTAAATATAAAACCCTAATTCACTTTGTCTCTCATATTTATGTATTTTTCCTAAGATAGTCCTTCTAATGATGGTAATTTTAGTCAATATACTTGATTAGTAAGGATATTTTAAGAAAGACAACACCTATTTATTACAAATAACTAATTTAACTTACTTCCTTAATCTCTTCAAATTAGTCAATCAGATCTTATAATTAGAACTGGAGATAATTTATAGATATGCTCAAAAACCTTCACACTATTATTTATAGATATGCTCAAAAACCTTCACACTATATTATATATGGCTCTATATACGAGCATGTTTGAAAGGTTTCAAATCAAGATATACATATAAAAGATATTTTATGTGATTCAAACACCATTTCAATCCGAAACATGTTATTTTCAACATTACACAACATATTAAGCCATTCATGAACACAGCAGCCTCACATTAGTTCATGAAATTGAGGATCAATAATATTTAAAAAAACAGAGACATCACCCAAAAAAAAAAAAAAAGAAACAGATAGATTTAAACGTAACACCACTTGATGGGTTAACGTTTTCGCACCTTCAACAATTAATGTAAAGAAACAATATTACTTCGCGTCAATATATGATTACAGGGTTAATTAGAGCTAAATTAAAGTTAGCCCTCAATCTCCCAGAATTCTAGAGTCAATTGGTTATAACTCTAATCAATCATCATGTATTTGAATATCCCATTACCATACAAATCCCCAAATTTCCCAAAATCTCCATGCTATCATTCCTATTAGGGGTGTTCAAAATAGGTATGTCCCAGTCCCGACTATATTGGGATGGGATGGGACGCGGGATAGGGTCGTCTTGTCCTAATAGCAATATATTTTTTTAATTTTTTTATCTTATTATAATTATTAAATGTTAAAAACACAAAATGTTTAAGGTATATGCAATGCAAAATGTTTATATTTATATTTAGCACATATATAGTTGAATAGTTAGTATTTATCTAGAGTTTTTATGGTTGCTTATGATGTTTGAAATAAAAAAAATGAATTTGGAGTTATTATATTACTAATTATTATTTATTTGGGTTTTTGTTTAAGATGACTAAGCCCGAAAAAGAAAAAAAAGCTTTCAAAAAGGCTAAGCCCAAAAAACAAAAAATAGAAAGGAAAAAAAATATGAAAATCCATTATAATAACTCAACCAAAAGACAAAAACTTTTTACAATAAAAAAAAATAAAACAGGATGTCGGTCTCGTCCCATCTCAATCAGGACCAAGACAGGATAAGATGAGACATAGAACAGATTTCCTATCCCATCCCTATTCATTAGAACAGAATTGGGATGAGCCTGTTCTGATTCTGTCCCGTTCCATACACAGCCCTACCTCCAATTAGGGTCTATTACCCAAATATATCCGTTACCAAATCCAACCACTAAGCACAAAAGTAAAATGATTAAAATTTAAATCAACTCCCACTAATTATATCTAAACAATCAAGATAAAAGTTCTGTATGAATTAATATTTACTATAAAGAAGCATAAAAGCCATAATTAAAACTAAAAGACCTAATAATAATCTAAACATTATATCTCTTACCAATTTCATTATGCTACGATTTCTTCCTTTCTAAATATGCAGTTGAAATTTAGATGCTGTTAATTTCTTCCCCTTCATACATTCATACAATTACATACAATACAATACATGCATGCTGCTTAAAAACTTCAATCCTCTTAAACAAGTTTTCCCTTTTTTTTTTTTGCCAGCCAATTTTGTTTCCAATTTTATTTCAATGTTTAAATTAAATAATAATAATAATTACATTACATTAATTAATTATTTTATTTTTTTTAAAAAAAATATGCATATATAACTGTTATTTTAAAAACGATAGCTCCAAATCCATGCTCAATGAACATAAAAATCTTCAGGGGGCCGACGTTGTGGTTTAACGGAGGTTTCATCATCTTCTTCTTCAGCGTGAAGGCGCATTCGTTCCATTACCTTCTTACCCTCCCTGCCTCCCTCCTCCCTCTCTCTCCACAATGACGTTGGCTACTTCCTTTGCCAGCCCTCATGTCCACCCTTATCCCAACACTAGTAGAAGTTGCCTTCTTCCTATCAGAAGAAAATCTCACAAGAACCGTCGCTTTCTCTTTATCTCACCCTCCACCACTCTCTTTGCTTCACTTCCTGCTACTTCTTCTTTCAGTATCAAGTCTGTTTCTAATCCAGTTCAATTTCGCCCTTTATCGGACTCAATACATGATGATTTAATGGAAGACCTCGAGAATTCCCTCGCTTCTTTTGCTACCGTGAACGGAGTTCATCAAATTGAGGCCCCTGAGTCGTCCTCGGGCTTATTTATCCACGAACCACCTTGGTTTTCCTCCCTCTTTTTGAAAGGTTTGTACTCGGAAACTAACCAAGAATTTAGATTGGAGTTTAAGGAAATTGAGAAAAGAAAGTATAATTTGCTGAGGAGAAGGCAGATTAGAGCCGAGACGGAAGCTTGGGAAAGGATGGTGGAGGAGTATAGAGAGCTTGAAAGAGAAATGTGTGAGAAAAACTTGGCTCCTAATTTGCCAAAGGTGAAATCTTTGTTTTTGGGGTGGTTTGAACCGCTGAAGGAAGCTATAGAAGCTGAGCAGAAGTCGCAGAGGTCAAAGAAGAAAAAGGCTGCATATGCACCACATATTGATTTGTTGCCTGCATCCAAAATGGCGGTTATTGTCATGCATAAGATGATGGGTTTGGTGATGCTGGAGCTTGAGGTGGGGTGTGTTCAGGTTGTTCAGGCTGCAGTTCAGATTGGTATGGCTATAGAACAAGAGGTAATTGATAAAAGTTCCTTTTAACTTAATTACATTTGAATGTTTTGAACTAATTATGAGTATTGGGTAAATCCCTGTTCTCTCTCCAATATTTTAAGCAGCTGAGTAAAGGTTATTTCCATATATATTAGCACGTGGTTTGCTGTTTACGTAATACTTGTCCTTGTCCAGTCTGAGAATTTCGTAGTTCCCCCTTTATGTGTGTCTCACATGTGCCTCAACTACGTTAGATGCACGAACTCCCTCCGTCTTACGATTTTCATTCAGGTGCCTCTTTGATCACAAGGGATATACCATGGGAGTTAAATTTCTCCTCTAGCAACTGTACCCTGAAGAGGAGCAGGACGTAGTGGAATTCAGCTGCTTAATTAGCCGTAGTCAGAATGCAACTTGCTACACATGGGGATATTTACATATCTCTGTGCTATTGTTAGCTTTTAGGCTATGAACATTTGCTGGCACCATGTACATATTAGTTTTGTACTCTTGTTGATCACCTGCCATATATGGGACTTTTTCTGCCAGGATTCTCAAACGTATAGTACTTTTTAGCACTAGCTTCCTTTGGTGCCAGTCATGCCACAGGGCACCATGATTTATCCATCCTCTTTATCATATTTTTTTTCTAAACATGCATTTACAGGTAACACTGGTTTCTGCTTAGCTTATCCAATTAATGCATTCACTTGAAGTATGCAATGAAAACCCTAGTTTTGATCTGCCAGTACGTTCTGACCACTACATTACCAAAAAAATTGATGTTAAAAGATAAAATAATATTCATAAAAGCAGAACTTAAAACTATAATATATTCTTACAATTTCTCCTTGAAAGTAGTACAAGCATGTTCTTTATCAATGAATCATCTAGTTTTGACTTTGGTGGGTTGATGTAGACTCAGGTAGTACGTGATGACTAAGTCCCACATTGAGTAAAATGATATGTTCAATGGAGTATTTAAGTGGGTTTATCTTACCATCTCAATAGCTAGCTTTCGAGGGAGTATTATTTATCCATAGAGCATCCCATACTACTCCATGTGGGACTTGATACATCCCATACTTTGTGGAACTGAGGAAGCCTCTACTACCTCACCTTAGTTTCCATCAATTGGCCTCCCTGGGAAGCCAATAACATGATGGCTACTATTTTAGAACCAACTGTAGAGCTTCCTATTCTGCTTCATGTGGGATTTAGAGGCATCCCATACCATACTAGTGTATTACCTTATCTTCGTAGTGTGTCTCTCTTTCTACCAACAGGGGAGGGAGGGACTGAGAGTTGTTTTGTTGAGGTTTTATTCCATTTCTTTGAATCACTTATGATTGGTTGTTTTGGTGTATTGTAGTTTCATCATGACTTTAGAAAAGGATACATCCTTTCTCAACGAGCTCTACTTATGTAACAAATTAGTCTCAATGTGTTGCAGGTTAGGATTCATAGATTTCTGGAGAAGACTAGAAGACACAATGGTAAAAAGGCAGCGGCTGTTTCTGAGGATGGCCTTAATAATGATAAAGAGAAAATAAGGAAACGTGTAAATGGTTTGATCAGAAGGAAAAGAATGAAAGAGGTGCAGTTGCTCTTGAAGAAAGAAGAATTTAGTCCTTGGGGACGTGATACCCAGGCTAAGGTTTGTGTGCATGTATATTTGCAACTTCATCATTTTTTTTAATTTTTTGTTTTAACCCTGTAATTTAATAGTGACCTTATGAAAAATGCAGCTGGGATGTCGATTAATACAATTATTGATTGAGACAGCATATCTACATGCTCCACCTGATCAGTCTGCTGATACTCCACCTGATATTCGACCAGCATTCATGCATAGGATTAAAGCTATATCAAAATATCCAGGGTGAGGGTTCACTTTTTAATTTTCCTTTTTAATCAAGAATCCTTACTCTAGGACCTGAACTCCTAGCAAAATTGTCAGATAAGGGAAGTTACAGGTTGGCTGTTCTGTGGTAGAATGTGCCTGAGTAGATGTGTCCTGGATGGTTCTTGCTTTTCTCTCTTTCCCTCCCATCATACCATGTATTATTCTCAACACAAGTACCTGAACAGAGGCCATTGGCCTTCAGTTTAGAAGTATTGAGAGTATGAGGTGTGACCCTTGCTAAAGGAAAATGAAAGAATAAAACTGAATTTAAAAAGGTTCACTTGCTAGTGATTACAGATGTTTTAAAATTGTTGACGAGAAGAATCACTGCAAGGACGGTTCGCAAAGGTTGATTAAAGTTCTTTTGGAATAGTACTATCTTATTTCTTATGTAATTCTGAATTGCTGCTTGGTACATGTAGGCAAAAGATTTTGAAGAATCATGGCGTTATAGAGTGTGACCCCTTGCTCCTGGCTGGGCTTGACAAATCTGTGAGTTTAGAAATCATGTTTTTTTTAATATATTTTTTTTATTTGGCCATTTCAAGCTGAACTGCAAGGTTGTAATAAGCTTTTTCCTGAAAATGAATTTATGATAAACCCATTATTATCTGTAACAATATCTATGATTTCTTCTAAGCATGATTTTAAGGTATTTTAAACTTCTGATAGTGCTAATGCTTACAGAATTAGCAATATACACCATAAACCGTGAATATATATTTCTTGCTTACTAATTCATGCCTTTGTTTTTGTGCAGGCTAAGCATATGTTAATACCTTACATGCCTATGCTAATACCTCCTAAGAAGTGGAAAGGGTATGGCAAATATAATGGGATATACTGTTGTATTTTACTTGAATAGCCTGCATTTGGTCAATCCCCATAAAATCTAGGAATAATCTGGTAGCCAGTGAGGGGTGCAAATAGCTGACCACATTTTTTTAAGGGGCAAAAAAAGTCTTAGTCTCTCTCTCACTCTCCTCTTGATACTCTTTCCAGGTATGACAAAGGTGGGCACTTGTTTTTACCTTCTTATATCATGCGGACACATGGATCTAGGAAGCAGCAAAATGTGATGAAGAATGTTGAAGGGAAACAAATGCAGAAAGTTTATGAGGTATTGTATGTGAATTTCTGCTTTCCTTTTTCATTGTCAAGGAAGAAGCGAAGCAGTATTCCATAAAATGGATATTCTGGTTAAAAAATGATGCATTATGCCGTTATTGTATTGTTTGTAAAATTCAGGATTGACTATTAGGACTTTGTTGAGTGCTGTAATGATCAAGTTTATTATTTTCTAATTTCTTCCTTATTGGAAAAAAGGGCACAGTAGTTTCTTATTTGTTTTAGAATTTATTGTTGTTAGTGAATGGACCTTGGGCCTAGAACCCTAATCTAGTCTCTTTTCTAGTTAACCTAGCTGCCACTAATCGTAGATAGATTTGTAGATTTGAAAGCTATTAGGTATTAACTTACATTTTGAATTTTGAATTTGATTGTATCCCTAGAATTTTGGCTTATCCCTAGAATGCTGTGATCTCAGTCTCTCTTGACTGCTCCAATTTATCTATTTAATCCGCTGCCTATTCTGAATAAAGCAAGCAATATTTTGCATTTGTCTTCTACATTTACGAGAGCATTAAATTCTTTGTAAGTTCCCAAGATATCATTCAGTTTTATTACTTTCATTTATATAGTCATTATGCATTATTGCCTCTTCTTTTCTCATTTAAAGTTGTTCTTATGCATATTCCCATGTATCTCTGACCTATTTTGCTCTGACATGATAAATTTTCAGGCCTTGGATACACTTGGACAAACCAAATGGCGAATAAATAAAAAATTACTTAGTGTTGTGGAGTCCATCTGGGCTGGAGGTGGTAACATTGCTGGCCTGGTTGATCGTAATGATGTAAGCACAATTTGATAAAGAACTTCTCTAGTTACCAAATGGAACTATATAGATTTTTGAAAAGGATGATTGTGTTAGTTTCTTCTTTTGTCTTTCTTTATTTTTATTCTATTTACCCATTGCTTTTGAAAATTATGCTACAAATCCTAATTAGAAAAAGGCTTTATGTCTTCCGGCATTACATGAATAAATAAAATAAATTTTAGATATTATCAACTTATAGAAGGTAACATCCTGAATCATTTAAACGTCTTAAACAACTTAATTTTGTTATTGTTACTCTTTTCTGAAGATGAATATTTAATTCAGATTTTATTGAGCCCACACTAATTGTGGGATAAAATCACCTTGAATAATTGTGGCTGGCTCAGAACCCTACCAACTTAGGATTTTTCTGGTTCATTCTCTGATAAAATGTAGTTGGGTTTATGTTATAATGAATTCTGGTCCCCTCCATCCCCATTTTCCATAGAGCTTAAAATGTGGTGAGTTCTAAACGCTTAGTTCCTGTCCCTCGAATTTCTCTTTTGACTTACAGGTTCCTGTACCTGAGAAGCCTTCTGTAGAGGATTTGAAACTAATTCAGGAATGGAAATGGAGTGCAAGGAAGGCAAGGAAAATTAATCTAGAGAGACATTCTCAAAGATGTGACATTGAACTTAAAATCTCTGTAAGATATCTCCTCTCGTTGTCAAAAAGTTTGCATGTCTTTAAACATTTGACAATTCCAATTTCAATTGTTACATCATTGTCCTCTGATCTTACCTACATCTTGTGAAGATGTTGATCAATGTAAACGTAGACTTGATTTCCTAATGTTTGTATCCATTATGCATCAAATTGGACCATGAATTGCATAATCTCACCTATATTTTTATAGTTATTTAATTTCTGTTCCATGTTCTATTAGATGAGCAATAATTATGAGAAAACAATCTGAAACAGGTGGCTCAAAAAATGAAAGATGAGGAAGGCTTTTATTATCCCCACAATCTTGACTTCCGTGGAAGAGCATATCCGATGCATCCTCATTTGAATCACTTAAGTTCTGATCTATGTAGAGGCCTACTTGAATTTTCTGAAGGGCGGCCCCTGGGGAAGTCTGGCCTACATTGGCTGAAAATACATTTAGCAAATTTGTATGCTGGTGGCATTGAAAAGATGTCTTATGATGGCCGCCTAGCATTTGTGGAGAATCATCTTCATGATATATTTGACTCTGCTGATTACCCTATTCATGGAAATCGTTGGTGGTTAACGGCTGAAGATCCTTTTCAATTCCTTGCTGCATGTGTTAATCTATCTGAGGCTTTAAGAAGCTCATCACCACATTCTGTGATCTCACATCTGCCAATTCATCAGGTATAGGCTTTTTGGAGCCCTTAAGGCTGGGAAAAATGGGTTTCATAACTTCTGCACATTTCTTCTATAAGTAACGAAGTTGACTCCTGGTTCTCATATTTGCATTTGTGATGCAGGGATTTTGTTTTTGTTTTTGTAGTCTTATATTGCAAATATTTGCATCTTAATCATTTTATTTGCAATTGAAAATGTTTGTAGTTTCATATTACAAATATTTTGATCTTATCTTTTGATTTGCAGTTGAAAATGTTTACTTTATCTGGTATTTTCTAAATGTTTTCTTCATTGACTATTTTCAAGAGAAGTTATTAGTAACACAATTCTGATTAATTTTAGGATGGTTCCTGTAACGGCTTACAGCACTATGCAGCTCTGGGAAGAAACCATGTACGTTCACTTATCTTTCACTACCTGAATTTTCATAATTATAAAATATGCTTATACTTCCTGGATTTGTGGGGACTTGAGGATGATTTAATTTTGTGTGGCTTACTAGCTTCATTGACTTTTGAAAATGTCAGCATGAGGACAAAATTCTTTTATCCCTGCAACTTGGCATCATTAAACCTTTTTCTATGCTGAAAGATGGTCCCTGTTTGTGCTGAATTATTTTGGGTGATTTTTAAATCTTCATATCTCTGTGTTAAAAGACTGGCTTAATAGACCACGGTGTTGGTGGCTATCTTATCTTTCATGACCTGTTAAGTACCTCGTAGTTCCCATTTTGTCATTACATGTACTGGGTAGCAGCCTTTTGGTTAATTATGGATGTTCGTCATCTTTATTCTCATTCTGGGTTTTCTGGATCTATTTGTCATGGGACACGCTTTATACTGATGTTCTGCTTTTGAGACAATTGTAGATACCCCACTATGAAACTAAATAAACTAATTACAGTTCTATTGTAACTAAATTATTTGGTAACACTAAATGATATTCTGATATAGCTACCAATAAAAGGATGGTTAAATTGATAAGATTGTGTCTAAAATTTTTGCTGTTGCTGATTACTTTTCGCCGCACTTCTTGTTTTGTTCACTTTGCTTGTTCCTTCGCAGCCAGAGGCTGCTGCAGTTAACTTGGTTGCTAGAGAAAAGCCTGCTGATGTTTACTCGGAGATTGCGGTTAGGTATGTCAATTCTTTGTCTGCAATTTTTGTTTTTCATCGAAACCTCCATTCCATGCTACATTATTTTGAAGGAAAATTGCAATAAAGTTTAAAAGCAAACAAGTCCCTCGAAATCATCAAATTATTTTGAAGTCTCAAGGGACCTCATTGCAAAATATTTTATTTTTTTAATTACCAAATTGCCCTTTTTTTAAAAAAAATTTTTTTTTTTGCATTGACAACTGAAAGAGCAGTTGTTAACAACTTAAAATGTAAAGATTAACAACAATCGCAGTAGGTATTAACAGCACATTACAAAAGTATAATGCATGAGTTGTCAATAGCTATCGCAATTGTTATTAATCCTTACACCTTAAGTTGTTAACAACTGCATTTTCAGTTGTCATTGCATACTTTAAAAAACAGATAAGGGCAATTTGGTAATTAAATAAATGGAATCTCTTGCAATGAGGTCCCTTAGGACTTCAGAATAATTTGATGATTTCAAGAGATCTTTTTGTATTTAATTCTCTTGGGTGGGACCTGATTGCAATTTTGCCTATTTTGAACTCAATTTTGATTGCAAAATGAATTGTTTTCACACCTGCATTGTTCATGTTTGAGGCCATCATTAGGATAGCCGCTTGTTTGTTAGCATCTCTTATTTCAGTCACCTGCTTTGCTTGATTTCTCCTGCGCATGAAAGAAGCTTTATGGTCTATCATCCATTGTCCATACGGTCAATTATTGTGCAAATAGCTATGTATAATTGGTATTATATTGTCTCTTTAATTGTATGTATTGGCACTTGCGCAGGGTTCATAATATTATGAGAAGGGACAGCAACAAAGACCCAACTAACTATCCGAATGCTTTATTGGCAAAGCTTTTAATTGATCAGGTCAGTCCTCTTTTTAAATGTTGAAAGTTGTGTTATTTGATGAAATTATGCTCCAGAAGTTAGCAATAATCTCTTTCTTCTTACTTCTAATTGTTGGAAGCTTTCAGGTTGATAGGAAACTCGTCAAGCAGACTGTGATGACGTCAGTTTATGGTGTTACTTTTGTTGGGGCACGAGAGCAAATAAAAAGAAGGTTACAGGAAAAAGGACTCATAACTGATGACAGAATGCTTTTTACTGCTGCCTGCTATGCTGCCAAAGTAAGCAGCCATATAAATATGGAAGGATTAGTTCATTGCTATTAGATATAGTAACAGCTATCTTGATAAGTAACTCTTACCTGTACTATCCTTTTGGAATGTTTGGTTGAATAGAAAATTATTCCTTTTAAAAAGAAGAAAGAAATATGATGTTATGACCCAAACCAGAAACTGTAAATCCCCTCCTGCATTATGGCAGACTTCACGCAGAAGTAAAAATAAAAAAGCTAACTCAGTAAATTCATAAAACATACTACTCTGTTACACATTCAGACACACAAATAGGAGGGATAATGATTACACATATAAATTGATACTCAACAGAGAACAAGAACAAAGATACAAGCCACACACGCAGTTACAACTCTCTAAAACAGAACAAGCTTGCCAAACTTTCGAGAGGTTGGCACTCTACAGCCCAAGGGCCTAAACCACACTTCAAAAATCTTCTCTGCCTCTCCCGCTCAACCCAACGAAAGATTTATAGACCTCAAAAAGTGACCCTCACAATACCCAACTTAGCCTTCTCATAGCCTTTGACCACACTCAACTATAGCTTCCCTATTTGTCTATTTCTTTCTCCAACAGCAAGTCAACGTTCTGACCAGCAAAAAGTATCTTTCCCTTTTCATGTATTTCCTAAGTTTCCAAAAGTGATCCTAACATATAACTCTTTCGAATACTCTTTGAAGACCTTAAATCTGGCAAACCCTTCCATGCTGAAGCTAAAATGGAGTCAACCAATCAAACACTTCGTGATAAGTTGAAAAAGTTGATTACAAGTGAGTCATATCCGGACTTCTGAATTGATTATCCTTTACTTTCTAAAGGTGACATTGGCTGCTCTTGGAGAAATATTTGAAGCTGCACGGGGTATTATGGGTTGGCTTGGTGATTGTGCAAAGGTATGCTCTCTTATCACCTGTTGGATTTCCAGTGATGCTGATGTTGTTTTGGTCTTTCAGATTTGGAGTTTGTGGGTGTGACTCTTTTCTGCAATTCCGTTGTGTATAACTTGCATAGGTGATTGCTTCTGAAAATCAGCCTGTTTGTTGGACCACTCCTCTTGGTCTGCCAGTTATACAGCCATACTGTAGATCTGAACGTCATCTGGTGAGCTTCTCATGCACAGCTTTTTCCCCTATTGTTTTTAAGAAACTTACTTTCCTTAACAATGACAAAGTGTCAAACTAGTTAAGTAGTCAGTGGACTATCTATTTTCTTCTAGTTTTTGTTGTACTGTTTTGCTGTTTATGTTGAAACACCACGCTGATTATTCTCACATGGGCTGCAGATCAGAACATCACTCCAGGTTTTGGCTTTGCAGCGGGAGGGTAGTGCAGTAAGTAGACACATTTCTCTTGTTCCTTGTGTTTTCTACTTTCAGGATGGTTTTTTCATTTGCCAAATCTATCTTGATTGCAGATAGATATCAGGAAACAGAGAACTGCCTTTCCTCCAAACTTTGTACATTCACTTGATGGTTCACACATGATGATGACTGCTCTTGCCTGCGGGGATGCTGGCTTACGTTTTGCAGGTTTGAAGACATAACATTACCAAATAAATCATGTACATAATATGTGAAACTTCTATTTAAACAAATATTTAATATTTGTTTCTCAGAAAAAATGTAAGCATTTTTCTGCTTTCTGCTTGGATATGCTTCAGTTTACTTTCACCGTCATTGCGTAATTGTTTTCAGAAGATATTGGCATAAAATTGAAATTGATACATTATATTTATGAAAGACTTGTACTTTTTTAAGGAGTAATGTTGCAGTTTAGTTTTGCTTTGAGAGAAGTTTATAATTTTGGCTTTTAGAAGCCCCTTGGTTCAATTTCCTCCGGAGGATATGTCTATATAACTTATTTGTAATGGTTATTGATTTAGCATCTATTTTGTTTAGGAAAAGTTTTTGGATTATTAAATTTATGATTTTCAATATACATAGAATGGAGGAAGTCTTTTTATAGGGGGTCTTTGTAGTTTTCAATGAATTGTGGGTCTGCCCTCCGTTTGTAGCAGCTGTACTGACTAGTTTTAGAGGCTCCGATAGGAGCAAAGGAAGCAAAGTCTTGTCATGGACTGGACGTGTTTGATACTTGGGGCTAATCGGTTTATGTGGTTGGAGCATCATACTTGAGTGCTCACTTTCTAAGTGCCTCATCTTCAAGATTTGTCTTTCTCTTCCTGTTTCACAAGAAGAGTAGCCTTTTTGGCGTTTTTGTGGGGTTCAACTCATGGTTATTACTGGGGAATTTCCTTGTCAGATGTGCAGAAAAGTTAATCACTTTAATGTGGTGATTTTTCTTTTTCTCTTTGTTTTCCTCATCAGCTCGATTAGGAGAATGTTTGATTCTACACTCTGATACACTTTCTCTTTTAGGTTTGACTTCATTTTTCTACATCGGTTCATCCTTTTAATTGCATATATCCTCCTTAATTTTTTAATTGATCATACTGCCTCTTGATCCTTAACCGGAAGGGGAAAAAAAATAAAAAGGGAAGAATAAAGTTTTCACTGTGTTTTTTCTAAGTGGAGATTATTATCTACAATAAAATTGCTTGTTAACAAAATTCCTCTCTTTTTGCTGAAAATTGTTTTTCAATTTCTCTTTTGCTTGATGGAGGTTTAAGTTCAGACCTCAAATAAATTTGTACTCCTCTGGTCCATAGTAGGGGATCTAGTTGGAGAGTTGATATTAGTCCTATATGTAAGATATGATTCACAAGTTTATCAATTTTTTTTGAAATTAACCTTATTGATATTTTCCCAACAATAATCAAGTAGGAGAGGAAGAGAAGGAATTAAGAAAGATGCTCAAGGTATTTTAGAAAAAACATATCATATTAACTAATTTAACTAACATCCTTAATTTATTCAAATTAGTTAATTAAGTCTTACAGCCGGAGGAGTATTTTGTTGTGGTTCCTAGAGCTGGGATGTTATTCATTTTTTACTGTTTATATCTCAATCCATTACTGGACGTTTCTAACCATTTAATTTGCCAACTTATACTAGTAGTAGAATGTATAGAAGATCCTTTTGCTCTGGGTGACCTTGCATTAAATTTTTTTGGACAATGATATGAGCCTTAGTAATCATGTTAGTGGGCGTCAATGCTGCCAATGCATCTTTAATATTCTTCATAGCAGTTAAATCCCTTTTTAATCCAATGGATCTATGAATATATTTACGCTTTCTGGCACTTTATGTTATTTTGTGATAATTTAGTGGCAGGTCCATAGAAGAAATGTATTTTGTTTTTACATGTATTTTGGTGCTTAAATGTTTGTGAATTATGTATTTGCAGGGGTTCACGATTCATTTTGGACACATGCATGTGATGTTGAGCAAATGAATAAAATTCTTCGAGAAAAATTTGTGGAGCTTTATAACATGCCAATACTTGAAAATGTAAGTTCTTGTTGTATTATGAGAAATTTGGATTTATTATATAATTGAAATGTAGAAAAGCTGTACATAACTTTTTCTCTCGATCTATAAGTATAAAAAATGCAAGTTTTTTTTCTTTTTGTGAATAAAAAAAAAATGCAAGTCTTGGAAGCCTTGTACTATCTTGCGTTTTGGGGATGGTTAACGAATTCTTTCTGTAAAAAATCTCAAGTTTTAGTAAGATCCAAAGAAAAGAAAAGGTTATCTTCACCAAAATCCTCAACATGAAATCCATAGTTCTGAACTTGTAGAAAGCATTGACTTATTCTGTATTTCTGGGATGAAAAATATCAGGATTTGAATTATGGACCTAGATCAACTTGTTTATGGATTTCTATGTTCCTTTTATAAGAAATTTCCTTATAATGACAACAGTATGTACATACTGCCTCCGCTTTTCTTGAATGAGGCACACTTACCGTGGTCTAAGAGAAATGTGGTTTTGTGACTCTTGCGTTTGGGCTCCAAATTGATCTTAAAACATTGGAATCACGCCCCTTGCTTGATTCATAGCAGCTTTTTCCGTTTAGATGAACCAGAGTGGGGAAAATTAACCTCATATTTCTTCTTAAACCTTGTTATAATCGGACTTCAAATATTTTTTACAGTTGTTAGAAGGCTTCCAGACATCATACCCAGAATTGGATTTTCCTTCACTGCCAGAGAGGGGTGATTTTGACTTGCGCAATGTTCTTGAGTCACCATACTTTTTCAACTGAGGCTCTTTCCTGAAGATTCTGAATCTCTGCTGAAGCGATGTTTCCACTGCCCATGACATAAAATTAAGCAACTTCTGAAACATAGTTTATCCTGTTTTGGAAGTTGAGATGATGACAACTGCCAAAAGTTGCTTCTCATAAAAGGCAGGAAGTGAAGAAAATATGAGCCAACGGTCTTTTGAAGAAGTCTCTTGTTGGTAGAATGTTGCTGATTTGTCAATTCTCACAGTTCAAGAGGATATACGTTTAACTTACCGGGAAGGAAATTCTCCCCGAGATTTTTAGTGCTGGCAATCTCCTTCACCTGGGTTGAGACGCAGCATGCCTTCTGTACAGTGCGGAGCCAATGGCCAGAGGTAATTTTGATTATGCAACTTGAGCATTTTTTCTATTTGATTGTACTATAATTTATAAGTAGCTGTTGTATCATATAGGAAGGAAGGTTTTTGAGGGCAGAAAGATGCTGTGATGTGTACATAGAATTCTTCATTTTACTGGTTTAATGGAAAAAATAGAGAATGAATTACGATAGGAAAGTTCATCCTTCTTAGCTTAGCTTTAGATTGGACTATAGGTAGCGCGGCAACATGCAATGACAAGAAGTTTTATCTCACTAAGGTTGATCACATGGATTGCATGGCACCTTTATGCTCAATCAACAACTAAATGTTTAGGTAAATTGTTGACCAAAATGTCTCGCTCTATAAGCAACCATTCTCTCCACAACTCCACATATGGAGCAAAAAACACTTTGATTTCATAATCTTTTTGTTCCTTTTAAAAGCTCAAGCTAATTCCTACTCTGGATCTGGTGAACACATACAATGCATTCAGAAAGAGATAAAAGAGTACATAAGTGACACTCTTTGAAGTGCACAAGCATAGGAGATTTATTTAATTTAACCCTAACCTCAAAGGTCTTATAAGCTCATTAGCCTTGGGCATATTTTGACAGTATGCAATAAATGTTTTGTGCTCTCATGCTAGTGGGGCGACAGTAAATTTGTAAGGAATTTTAGTCTTTACAAATTTATATTTATTTGATAAACATCAGAGAACAAATTTCATTTTAACATTTTCAATTTGATACTGAATAAATTTGCAGTGCAGTGATCAATATTTCATTTCATTCTTTGTTTTACCATTCCATTTCTTTTTTTCTTTTTTTTTGACCTGACATTCCATTTCTTTCGTTACTTTGCTTTTTGGGAACTTTCTGGTTTGTCCACTGTAGTTTTGCATCCGACTGATTTGGGCAGTATAATATTGTGACACTGTTACCAAAAATTTTATGTTTAACCAATAAGGAAGCGAGCGAGCAAGACTAGCCAGTCTTCCAGTGGTTTGTTTGAGGTTGCATGTCTTCTGGTTTGGTACCCCCTCTCGTTCTTTCTATATGATCATATTAAATATTTTTTTATAAGATTAAGAAAATTGAGAAAACAGAGACGTATGAACTATGACCTGCCAAAGCTGCATTAGGATTTTCTTGGAGACGCTATTCATTTTCATTTGTCCCATCCGACCGTCTCACTGTGCCCCCCCTCTCTTATAATTACTACTATGTCTGATTCTAAATATAAAATTTATTTTGTAATGTAAATTGTATTATAAATTAGGTTTTATATTTACGATTGAAAGTAACATTTTTAGTTATCCTCAGATTTTATATTTAAGATCGGAAGTAATATTTTTAGTTATCCTCTTTCCAATAACTCTTAACAAAAACAAAAGGAAAATTTGGATAAAAATCCCTCCTTAACTGATTTTGAGAACTTATATCATAGTATCAGCATCAATGATATCAATGTTTTCTGTGTATAAAAATTTTTCACATCCTTCTTACCAATGAAATTTGTAAGGGGTTGATTTTTTTTTAATTTTTCCAAAAACAAAATGACATCTTTGCTTGATAGAAAGGGAAAGTAGAAGTACGATGTCTTGGAGCCACCCATTCGTGGATCAGCCTTTTCATTAGCCTTTTTCTTCCTAGAAGAAAAACCAATTTTGATACCAATAAAAATTAGTTTTGTTAGTAAAGAGTTGATTTATAATCTATAAAATTATGAGTTTGAATATCATTGTTAATGTGAAAACTTCGTTAGTGGGTAATTTCGAAGTATCTCTGTAAGCGTTCTCAACCTAGAAGCATGTCTTGGTCCTGATGAATCTCCGGAACCTGACTCACTTAAACTTTTTTATATTAAAAAAAAAAAAGCAATTTTGATAACCCACACCCCTTTTTTTATTTTTACCGTTATTGCAGTTTTGCACAGCAAATTGGTTTAGTTCCTTAACAATAAGCTCAAAAAGGGAAAAGAAAAACATAACAATCAATGCCTCAAATGCAATTATGAACTGTCCTTACCAATCATTTACAATTTTCCATTGAAAAGCTTGTTTTGATCAAAGAAATAAGATTTCAATTTTCTTTAGCAACATCTATTATTTATTTTTAAACTTACCCCATATTGATTTTTCAATATAAGTGGCTAAAAGTATATTTAGGAAAATCAAAACATATTTTTTACGAAAAATTAACAAGTTTTATTAATTTTTCTAAATTAATTATATAGTTTTTATATTTGGAAGGCAAAGTGTAATATAGAATATATAACATTCTTCAAGTACATATTCATATTTCATCATGAGTGTACTTTTTTTAAAACGAGAAAATATATACTACCTCCAGTCCTAATTATAAGAGTTAGTTGACTAATTTAAGGAAATTAAGAAAAGAAGTTAAGTTAGTTATTTGTAATAAATAGGTGTTGTCTTTCCTAAAATATTTTTACTAATCAAGTGTGTTCGCTAAAACTATAATTATTAAAAAGACTATCTTAGAAAAAAATTGAATAAATATGAGACAAAATGGATTGGAGTCTTATATCTAGGACCAACATAAAAATCAAACGGGGTCTTATATTAAAGACCGGAGGTAGTATTAGGTATATCTACTTTAGAGCCATGGAAGCAGACTAAGCTCACCAGGCCAACTTATTTAAATCAAGGATTAATTTGGATATCCTGAAAAGTGCTTCTCATAAGGAATTTTTCGTAAATTGAGATAAACTCCTCCACATATTTACCTCGTAGACTGTAAAATCACTTCTGAAATCATGGTTTGGTTTCCATCCAAACACCCCCTAAGTTTTGAAAAAGTTTGATTTTATGATAAGCAGGATTTTCAGGCCCAATTTTTTTAGACTCAAAGCCCTCAAGATCTAATTTAGGGTTAAGGGGAGGCCTACTCAAGTCCGTGAATTTTTTAATAAAAACTGTTTTTTAATCCAAAATTAAAAGAGTTAAGGTGCGCCCAGCACCCCGAATTATTTTTCCAGGTGCATCCAGTGTCCTAAAGTAATTTTTGGTGCATCTAGTGTCCCAAAGTAATGAAAACGGTGCATCCAGTGTCCCAAACTAATTAAAACGGTGCATCCATATCCCAGGCTAACAGAAAAGTTAAGTTTGACCGTTAGTTGACTGAAGAATCTGACGTGACGGATACGTAGGCGTCTGATGTGTATTATTTTGACGAGTTAAGGTGCACCCAGTGTCATAAAATAATTTTTGGTGCATCCAGTGTCCCAAACTAATTAAAACGGTGCGTCCACATCTCAGGCTAACAGAAAAATCTCGTTTGACCGTTATCTTGTTGATTCAGCTGAAGGTTGATCGAAAAATCCTACATGACAGACACGCAGGCGTCTAATGTGTATTATTTTGACTGAAAATTCAATTTATTTCCTCCCCTTCTAACATTTATCTTCTGCCAGTTTTTAAACTTATAAAAAAGAGAGACCACCGATCCACCCTCTTAAATCCTGGTTCATGTACCACCCATTCAATCTCATCTTCGTCTTTAACATTTTATCTCATTTCTTCCACCACTCCGATTTGAAACCACAACCGCTGTCACAACACACTTAAATCTTCATCTCTGTTGACTCCTCGTCCGACTCGCATTTGCTTTCCTCCTCGTAGAGCACAGTAAACTTCCCCTTAGTCACTCCATCGACATCGTCGTCGCCTTCTGAGAAAACACCCACCACCACCAGGCTCGTCTCGGAAGCTTTAATCAAAATAAAACACATTAGACGCTTGTGTATCCGTCATGTAGGATTTTTCGGTCAGCCTTCAGCTAAATCAGCAAGGTAACGGTTAAACGAGACTTTTCTGTTAGCCTCGGATGTGGACGCACCGTTTTAATTAGTTTGGGACACTGGATGCACCAAAAATTACTTTAGGACATTGGGTGCACCTGGAAAAATAGTTTAGGGTGCTAGGCGCACCTTAACTCGTCAAAATAATACACATCAAATGCCTACGTGTCTGTCACGTCAGATTTTTCAGTCAACTAACGGTCAAACTTAAGCCCAGGATATGGATGCACCATTTTAATTAGTTTGGGACATTAGATGCACCAAAAATTATTTTAGGACACTGAGTGTACCTGGGAAAATAGTTTGGGGTGCTGGGTGCACCTTAACCCAAAACAAAAAGACAAACACATTCAAAATTCTTGCGAAACATGATGGACGCTGAGAAAATGGGAGCCAGTCCCTTTTAGTTATTTTTGAGTTTCTCTAGGCTTTTTAACCTTTTCTTGTATGCCAAAAAAAAAACTTGAAAAATCGTAAATAATAACCCTAAAAAATTAAAATCGTAATTTGAATTTAGACCGGATTTTAAATATAAATTAGTAAATATTGCATAAAAGACCAACACATTCAGAAAAATTCTTCTTAAAAGGCCAAAATGTTCTCTTTGAGTTGTCATTGGAGATCTTGCTCCAGCCTTTGTGACAACTAGGGACAAGCAGATGGCCAACTACAATTTGATGCATAGTAGTGACTATGAGCCATTGAAAATAAATACTACCTCCGGTTCTTATTATAAAATCTTGTTTGATTTTTATTTTGATCCTAAATATAAGACTTCAATCCACTTTGTCTCTCATATTTATACATTTTTTTTTCAAAGTAGTCCTTCTAACAATGATAGCTCTAACCAATACACTTGATTAGCAAGGATATTTTAGGAAAGACAATATTTATTTAAGATAAATAAGTAACTTAACTTATTTTCTTAATCTTCTCAAATTAGTCAACTAACTCTTATAATTAGAACCAGAGGTAGTAGCTTGCAGCATAACAAATGTACTTAGCAGAATAAGTGTTGTTCTGTGACCAAATTTGACGTAAGTGACATTATTATTCTGATAAGGTTGACGATATAAAAAGGATGAAATGATTTAAATTAATTTGAGTGCAAAAAAAAATTATTTTAGCTAACCAGAGCTCTCGATATCACTATCATTTACACAATAAATCCTGTAAAACAAACAAAAATTTGGTGCAATGCTTCAGAAAAACTTGTCTTTCCTCTTTCCTGCCTATCCATCTCTTTTCGTCACATACACTAAGAACTTACTATTTGTCTGAAATCATTATCTCTATCATGCTTTATGGATTATAGTACATAGCAAGGAAAGTTTGAAAATTAGCCAAGGCATATACTACCTCTCATCCTTAATGTAAGAGCTAGTTTGATATTTAATTTGATCCTAAATATGAGATCTCAATCTACTTTATCTCTTATATTTATCTATTTTTTATTAAGATAGTCCTTATAGTAGTTATACAAGTTAAATATTTCATCAAATAGTAATTCTATATAATACACATGATTTTTAAAGATATTTTAAGAAAGACAACACATATTTATTACAAATAACTAATTTAATCAATTTTCTTAATTTACCTAAATTAGTCAACTAGTAATGTTAGCTCACCTAGATAAATAATTTTATAATGTCTGAAAAAGTAATTTAATTAAATATATGTAATAAATAAATACTACTCCGATCCTTAATGTAAGACCTATTTAACTAATTTGATTAGATTAAAAAAGTTAGGTAAGTTAGTTAATTATAAGAAATATGATATGTTTTTCCTAAAATACCATAATTACCTTTTGTAATACCCTCCCACCCTCATTTATTTGATTATGGTTGAGAGAGTTTCTATAGGGGTAATTTAGAAAAAAATTGATAAATATAAAAAATAGGTCTTATTTTTAGGATCAAAATTAACTTAACAATTATATCTTATATTAAGAGTAGAAGAAATATTGGCATGTTTGTTTTTGTTCTTTGTTTTCTTATTCTCAAAACAATTTTATAAAATTGTTTTTAAGAACAAGTTTTAGAAACAAAAAACAAAAAACTTTGTTTGGAAAATAATTTTAAAAAAATCACATTTAAAAAAATATAAAAAGTTACACTTTGACAAGTGGTAGTTATCACTGATAGTGATAAGTAGTAGATAGTAAAGGAGAAGAGAAAAGGATTTGGAAAAATTACAAAAAAAGATCTTGGAATAGTAAAAACGCAAATAGGAACCCTTGAAAACCCAGAGTGAAGTTGTCAAGATTCTCTATCTGTGTTTTTGCAATTCTAAAGTCTTTTTTTGCAATTTCCCCAAAAGATTTCTCCATTTTTTCAAAACAAAAAAATAAAAAATAAAAAAACAAAAACAAGAAAACATGTAAAAGTTGTTTTAGTTTTTCAGTTTTTAAAAACATATTATTGTTTTTTTATTTTTTAAAATAATCAAGTAAAAAAAAAGTTAAACAATTTTTTTTGTTTTTAAAAATAAAAAATTATTTTCAAAATAAGAAACCAAACAATCCCATTATCTTTTCTAAAAAATTTTTTTTCATGACGCTTGCTGGAATGAGAATCCGAACTCATCTCAGCGGTTCACCGCGTTTCATGTTTGTTCACGGAAGAGAGGTCAGGCCACCGGTGAAAGCAATATAATTTTTAAAATCATCATGTATTATTCAGGGTAACTTTAACCCTTAAAGAAAATTTACTAAATAAAAAGCTAAACCAACCTTAATAATGTGACTTTTTTTGTCGTGCCAACATTAATGTCACTTATTAGTTATTATCTACTAACTTTAGTCCTCATTATAAAAACTAGTTGACTGGTTTGAGAAGATCAAAAAAAAATTAAGTTACTTATTTGTCATAAATAGGTATTGTCTTTTCTAAAATATCCTTACTAATCTAATGTATTAGCTAGAACTACCATTGTTAGAAAGATTATTTTAGAAAAAAAGACATAAATATTAGAGACAAAGTGGATTGAGGTCTTATATTTAGGATTAAAATAAAAATCAACCGAGATCTTATATTAAGAAGTGGAGGTAGTATTTTATATCTAGTATGCAAGTATTATAAGAAACCATTGAAAAAATTTCTAAATCTAAATATAATAAATAACTATCAATATGTTTTTATTTAAAAATTTCTTTTTTATCCTAATTAAGTTTGACATTATTAAATACCCAAACACAAATCATTATATCAAATAACAAGTATGAGTTTTTTTAAAAAAAAATCTAACATATATTTATTGATCTTCATTCATTCGTTTATAGACATCTAAAAAAAGCAATTAATATGGAAACAATTTTAGATGGAATTTTTTTTCCCTCAAGATTTTTTTTTTTAAAAAAGAAATGATTCGATTTGGTTTCTGACAGAAAAATGGAATCCAATCTGAATCTGAGGGTGTGGGTGTGCTGTCCAAATTGTGGCGATTCCATCAGAGCTGTGTGTCAAAACAAAGACGTAGGAACTGCCAAAGCCCAAAGCTGCATTTGGGGACACACGTTTCATTCCTTTTGTCCCAAACGTCCTATTCACTGTGCCCTCACTGTCTCTCTCGATATAATAATTACTTGTTTTCTAAATTTCCTTTTCTCAATAATTCTTACAAAAACAAAATCACATCTTTCTTGATAGAAGAAAAAAATCAAAACAAAAGCGTAAGATGTCTCGGAGCCACCCATTTGAGGATCGCCCTTTTCACTAGCCTTTGTCTTCATAGTTCCTAGGCATACTATTAAAGAGGGTACTTAAAAAAAAAAAAATCAATATACTTCCAACAAATAATTAAATTAATTAATTTTTTAAATCAATATACATAATAAAAAGTATTTATTTTAAAACCATCCCATATCAATTTTCAATGTACGTAATTAAAGAATAAATATGGTTTAATATAATTATTTGTTTTTAAGTTTGCTCTCGTTTAGTTTTAGTCTTTAAATTTTAATATTTTTATTAGATTATAGGTACCAATATTTTAAATGAAATGTTAAGAACCAAAACCTATAATTTGAAATTTAAGAAGCCAAAACATATGATTTAAAACTTGAAAACTAAAATTAAAATGAAAGCAAACTTAAAGAACCAAAGATTATATGAATCCAATAAATATTTTTTTAAAAAATTAGCACATTAGTTTTATGAATAATTAATTTAACAAATTTTGTTAATAGTTATGAATTAGTTATTTAAATCTTATAGTTAAAAATTATATAAAATATATAACTCCCTTCTTCTTAAAAAAAATGTTTAAATAAGGGTTAATACAAACTTTGTTTTTTTTTAAAATTTATTCTCATTTTGGATTTTGGTATCTCAAATTTCAAATATAAGTTTTGGTCTCTGAAGTTTTTTTTCATTTAAAATATTATTCCCTATAATCCAATAAAAACTTAGACTATTTTGTCTTTTGAGAGACCAAAAACTATTATTTTAAATTTGAGGGACCAAAACCAAAATGAACACAAACTTGAGGATCAAAAATTATATTAACCTTTTAAACAAAAAAAACATATTAAAACATAAGAACAAGACTACCCATCTTAAATGAAGAAAAAATTCGGACCTTTTTATTTTGAGCTCCATATAATTGGACATAAAAGCTGTAAATTGAGCTAATGCAACCAATCTTTCATCTTCAAATAGTCAAAACCCACGTCTAAATTGCCTTGCCGATCAAATATTTCTTCAGCATCAAGCCGTCAACTTGTAGAGGTGATGAATGTAGAGTAGCTAAGAATGATGATTGGGCAAAAGAGCTAAAAAACGTCAATAATTGTTTATTAGTTACCTTTTGCTTTGTGGGTCCACATTTCGTCCCTTCCCATGATTAAGACTAACAAACCCTGAGATGTGTCACAATTATGTTAAGCCTTTCGTTGCTTTCGAATTGTGAGGAGAGAAAGAGAGACCAGCTCTGTGCTTGACGGTGCTTGAGCTTCTGCTTTGTGGTTCTTATTTTTTCCCAGCGGGGAGAGGTTTTTTTGAGCTCAGAAGTACAGAAGAAGAAAGAAACCAGTTTCGCAAGATTACTGTACAACAATCCAATATTTTCACGTGATAAATTATGATAATCTTGCCTTTGGTTCAGGTTTTTTGCCATTTAACCAATATGAACAGACGATTGGAACTGTGATATTGAGCTTCGTGCGCTTTTTCCTGTGGGGTTGTGGTTTCCAGCGACGAACCATGGATTTGGCCGGGCATACTTCGGGTTTAATGCTGCGCATCTCGGTTTGGTTGTGAGGTTGGCTCTCTTTGCATGCAGATCTAACGAACGCGGCTTCACTTCCATCATTGTTGCTGGGGGAGATTTCTCGAGTTCCGTTGGTTTTTTCCCGACTTCTGGGACGATCGAAGGTTAAAAAGTTGACACTGTTATAGGAAAGCCTCTGTTGGGTATGGAGGAGTGGTTAAACTACTGTTGCATGCTGGATTGTTGGTTTCTTCTGTAAATATATTCATTAGGCACCAAATTGGGAACTTTCCTCTGGAAAAGCCAATTTTGTAAAAGGTTAGTGTTAAACTAATTCCCTGGAATGGCATGTTTTTGTTATAGGTGACAGAGTGGTGGGAAAAAGAAACTATCTACGGGGTAAGATGAGTTCCAGCGTCACTGGAAGTTTCGTCCTCGAGGGAAAGCTCCTAGTTCATATTGCCGAGAATGGTCGCTCTTTTGACTTGGATTGTGATGAAACCACAGTTGTTGAGGAAATCATGCGACTTATTGAGTCTCTCTCTGGGATCTCTTTTAATGATCAAATTATCCTTTACTTGGATATGAAGCTTGAGTCACACAGACCGCTTTCTGCATATAAGCTTCCATGTGATGAGGGAGAGGTGTTCATTTTCAATAAAGCAAGACTTCAGAGCAACTCATTGCCGCCTCCGCCAGAGCAAGTTGATATTGCCGACGTTGTGGGGCCTCCATTGCCATCCTGGTCTCATAATCCCCACCCTCTAGATGATGCTTTAGACCCTGCTTTGAAGGCCTTACCTTTATATGAGCGGCAATTCAGAAAACATTTCCATTGCGGGCATGCAATTTTCAGACGTTCAATAATGAAATATGAGCATTGTAAAAGGCTTCTAAGAGAACAGATGGTACAAGAGAGGGCAGTGCAGGTCGCAAGCGGTAATTTGGATCAGTACTATCAGGTGATCAACCAAAACTATGGGGACTTCATGAAACGTTATGCGCAACAACACCGGATGCATTCTGATCTTTTGGTGAATTTCGGGAGTAATGTTGAAAAACTAAAATCCACTAAACTTCATCCTGCTTTACAAACTCCTACTTGTAAATGTTTGATGGATTTCGTGAAGGAAGAGAACCTACGGAAGTCAGTGGACATTTGTACCAACTCCCACAAGCAGTTTGAGAATAAGGTTTCACAATTTAAGCATTCATTCAGTGTAGTGAAGCGTAGGGCTGAGGAATTGCTGTCTGTCAAAGCTTCCTTGTCCATCAAGAGTTTAGAACAAATAATTAAAGAACATCAGAAATATATAGATGAGCAAAAGAGTATCATGCAATCTCTCAGGTTAGTTTTGGTTTATGTTAACGACTTTATGATTGTGCGCTCTCACTATTTGCCACCCTTCACCAGAGAGAAAAATACATGTATTCTGGCTGCTTGTCTGAAATTGTTAATCTTTCAAATTAACTTTGGGGTGTGGGGTCAATTTTCATTCCAAACAATTATTTTGATTGACATTTTTCTCAGGAGACATTAGTCTGTTTTTTTTAAATGCTCTGGTTCTCACAATTGTGCTGCTGGATCAGATTTATAATCGATTCCTTCAAAGCTCCTCAACCATTTCTTGGTCATTTTGATGCTTGTCTGGTTGAAAATGCTCTTTTCTAACTTTCTGGAACTAAACACTTGCGAGTTCACCTGAAGTGAAGTAGTATAGAATAATGGTGTTTCTTTCTGGACATCACCTCTCTTCACGTAATGACTGCTGTATCTTTAAATGTATTTTGTTCCTTATTACTCTTATCTTCTGAGACATGGACAGACTCAACTAACTGCATATTTCTGGGGATTTCTGCAGCAAAGATGTTAACACTGTAAAGAAACTCGTGGATGATTGTCTGTCCTGTCAGTTGTCTGTCTCACTTCGTCCTCATGATGCAGTTTCAGCCTTGGGTCCCATGTACGATGTTCATGACAAGAATCACTTGCCTAGGATGCATACTTGTGATCATGCCATTTCAAAGCTACTTGACTTTTGCAAGGAGAGGAAGAATGAAATGAACACGTTTTTGCACAATTGCATGCAAAACATAACTTATGTATCTTATCTCATCAAAGATCAGAAGCTAAAGTTTCCTGTGTTCAAAGAGGCAATGACACATCAGGATAATTTATTTGTGGACTTGAAGTTGTTCCATGGTATTGGCCCGACATATAGAGCCTGCTTAGCTGAAGTAGTGAGACGAAAGGCTTCCATGAAGCTGTACATGGGCATGGCTGGGCAACTGGCTGAAAGGCTTGCCACAAAGCGGGAGTTTGAGGTCAGGAGACGGGAGGAGTTTCTTAGAGCACACAGTTCATACATACCAAAGGGTGTATTAGAATCTATGGGATTGTTTGACTTCCCTAACCAATGTGATGTTAATATAGCTCCATTTGATGGAGGTTTGCTAAATATTGACATATCAGATGTGGACCGTTATGCTCCTGAGTATCTAGTTGGGGTAACATCTAGGCTGGAGAAGCATGGAAACTTTAAAGTTTCATGTGCTTTTTCTACTGATAGCTCTCACCCAATTGAGGCTGTAGATATTGCTTCTGGTTCTTGTACAAGAAATTATTCTGAGCCTGATGACCTTCTTGATGGCAGTGAGTTGGTTGAAATTGCGGGAACTAGCAGGATAGAAGTTGAGAATGCAAAACTAAAAGCCGAGCTTGCTTCTAGAATAGCCTTAATCTGTTCTCTCTGTCCTGAGGTAGGGTATGAGTCGTTGGACAATGATAGGGTGGATGGTATTCTGAAGACTGCTGCAGAGAAGACAGCTGAAGCCTTGCAACTGAAAGATGAATATATCAAACATACTGAAACCATGCTTAGGATGAAGCAGATGCAATGTGTCTCATATGAGACACGCATTCAAGAATTGGAGGAGAAATTGTCTGATCTGTATTTGCTGAGCCAGAAGAATTCCAGTGTACATGATTCAGCTGAATTTGCCCTTCGATCTGGAAAGAAAGATGATTGCAAACAAGGATTTGTGAAGGGTGAAGCTTACATGCCTTGCTTATCGACTACTGAATCCATGGATGAGACTTCATGCATCTCAAGTTCCTTGGGTGCAAAACTTGGTCCTGTCGCAGAACATACAGGTAAAGCTGTAGATGGAGCAGATGAAAGCATGTTAGATTCCCCTAGATTACAGAAACAACAGTGGGATTCACCTATGGTGGAGCCTCATCATGAAGAAATCCAAAGTGGTAAAAAGGATAGGAATAATAAGATGGTTGGACAATTGTATATGTCAGTGACAAACGGTTCTGCTGCTGGGAGCATGCCCTCATCCCAGGATCTTGAACCTTGTAACTCGCCAGTTCCTCTTCACTCGGATTCTAAAGTAAATGGCGATTATTTGTTCGAACGACAAAATTCACTTGCAGACAAGACAAGCCAATTAAACAAAACTGAAATGAAACTTAAATCTCTTGTGGAGGAGGTTGCCATGCTTAGAAGGGAATTAGAAGCAAGTCGGAATCTTCTTGATGAATCCCAGGTAACAATGTGTCTTCAGATGTATATCATGTTAGGGTTACTATTTTCTGAAACAAAGTTGCGTAATACTCATGATGTTCAGTGTTTCCCTATCTCACTAGCCCTGTCTCAATGTGGCCTGCAATTCTTTTCCATCTCTCTCTGTGAAGTTGTGAATTTAAATGCAGAAATTTTATTGCAAAAGTGTTTTATATAATCCCACTACGAATTTCATTAGAAGAGTTTTGTATTATTCTCTGAAAAGCAAGGAAAACATGAATTACTCATCTGTGCTAATTTGTACATTATTATTTGAGGCGTTAGGTAGGATGAACTCCACTACTTTAGATTCTTCTGTACTTCTAGGATAAAAAACTTGACTGTGATATAGCAGTTGGTTGATTAATTCTCAACAAAACATTCTGCAACTTATGGTCTAACTTCAAACTATACTTCAAAATTACCATAATCTTCACATCCTAAGTTTGCTTTCAATTGCTCTTAAAAATCTCTGATTTTACCATCATGATCAATATTTGATGGGCAATCAAGAGATTCCACAATGATTGGATTAAATATTGAAGACGTTCTTTTTCCCTTTGTCTACTTGGTATATTCATGGGACTCAAGATTTCTTCAAAACAGTGGTTAACATTTATCTATCAACCCAATGCTTTTCTTCAAGATGCGTCAGCCTAATCGTTGCAATTTTAAAGAGTCAAATTTAGTAAAAGTACTTCCCAGTGATTGAAGTCCAGCCTCTCCGAACTGCACTACCATAGGCTATAGATGGAGAGCCCAAAGTATAGGAAAAGAAAGAAAATAAGAAAATTAGAAAATACAAATAACTCGTGATTTTCCTATGCATTTGGAATAACAAACTTGGTCAGGTTTAGCAGTTTATTTGGTTGAATCTGAACATGTAATTTTGCAACTTAAGGTCCAACTTAAACCTTTTGTTCAGAGTCAGAACCAGCCTGATCTTCACATCTATCTTCACTTCCAACCTTTCTTCAAAATATTCCCAAAAGTAAAGCAAAAATATTTTTGCAACTGTTTTCATTGAAAAAATGGGTGATAGCACAGTGAAATGCAGGTTTCAATAAATACTTTAAGTTTATTCTTCTTTCTAGATTTGGCTATGATATGAAGGTGAAATGATATGTTTGATTAAAAATTGACATCTAGACCTTGGATAGGGAGTAGAAGTCATTGAGGATCAATTATATGTAGCGCAATGTCTTTTCCATATGAGCATTGCTTTGTTTGATCTTATACTTAACATCTGGACTTCATTGATTTTATCATCGTGCTTAACCTAGCTGGGGGTCCGAATGAAAATGCACTATCTTTACTCTGATGTATTTTCCCTCTTTCGCCCATCAGATGAATTGCGCTCATTTGAAGAATTGCTTACATGAGGCTAGGGAGGAAGCTTTAACACAAAAAAGTTCTGCTGACAGAATGGCCTCAGAATACAGTTCACTGCGTTCGTCAGTTCTTAGAATGCGCAGCCTTTTTGAAAGACTCAAGAACTGTGCTTATTCTCTTGGTGGTGTTGCTGGTTTTACTGATTCCTTGCGGCCTTTGGCCCAATCTTTAGCCAAGTAAAATACACTTCCTCCACCTTTTTGCTTCTGTTTTTGTTTTTATTATCATTACTACTACTACTATTATTTATAAAGTTACTCCTGCCTCCTTTTCCTAAAAGGAAAAATGCTTTTCGGGGATAGGCTGAAACCACATGTGAAATAACAAACCCTTGCGTGTGAGGATAATAGTGCTTTGAGTAGTTAATTTCATAATGAATATCAGTAATTTGAAATTTGAATATACCCATGAAGTTACCATTTTTGTGGTCTGAAAGGTCATCGAGAAGAAACAATTTCATTTTTTATTCCTTAATCCAAGGGACAAATACACTCACTGGTAAACAGTTACTTATCTTTGGAAAAAAGAAGGGGGTATGGAATGGGATGAGGGTATTGGAGTCACCCTACTTACCTGACATCAGAAAAAGTACCTTTCAGAGACTATTTATCATTATCAGATCAGATTCAAAGTTATTTTTACAAACTGATGCTTCCCAGTTGATATCTCATTTTTATACATGGATTGTAACAAGATGATGATACTGTTGTCTCTTTCAGTTCTGCAACTGACAACAACGATGATGATACTGCCGAGTTCCGAAAATGTATTTGTGTGTTAGCTGATAAAGTTGGTATTTTGTTGAGGCACCATGAAGAGCTGCTTGACAAGTATCCAAATATTGAAGCCACTAATGAACGGCTCAGGAAGGAATTGGACGAGAAAATGAATCAAGTCAAAGCTTTATACAACAAGCATCAACAGGAGAAGCAGGTATGTATTGTCCTGATGCTTCTGACGGTTCTAGGCTTGTTTCATGTAAAGCTAATTTTTTTTCTTCTTTTGGTAAACCACGTAAAGCTAATTTTTGAAAGTATGTGATACAGACAGTGAAACAATCTTTTTGAAGACTGCATATAGAACTCCGTCTTCATTTAAGTTTTAGGCCTTGTCTTTAAAAAAAATTCCAAATTTTAAACAGAGCTAACATCCATTTGTGGCTGGAAAATCAACTAACGGGAAAAATATGCTCTGCTTGTGATTTTGCTTCAGGCAAACAAAGAAAATGTTTCTTTTGGTCACCCAGAAGTTCATGAGGTTGCTGTCTTTGTCCTCAATGCATCCGGGCACTATCAGGCTATGACAAGGGATTACTCAAACTACTACTTATCCACTGAATGTGTGGCCCTGTTTGCAGACCACCTTCCTAGCCGACCCAGCTACATTGTTGGACAGATTGTTCATATTGAACACCAAGTTGTGAAGGCGATGCCTCTGACTTCCACTCAACCTGAACATGCTAGGGCGGATCAACTGATCTCTGACGTGGGAACTGATCGGTTGAGCTCGAGTTCAGGATCAGCTTCAAACCCATATGATCTCCCCATAGGCTGCGACTATTTCGTGGTGACAGTAGCAATGTTACCTGATAGAACCATTCCTTCACTATCTTCTTCCTGATCCTGCATATAAGCCTTGATAAATATGGATTGGACGTGAGGGAAGTATTCAATTGTATATAAATTCGACCTTTCAAGTTGGAATTCTCTTAGTGGGAGCTGCACTTGTCAACCATTTGTACATATGATAATCCATTGTTTTAGTCACCCCCTTATATTTCTGTTTGTGAATAGACTTGACAGTTGCCACTTTGTTGTTGATACGGTGCCTAAGCTTTCGTCTCGGATCTGCTAAATAAATATTTATACTTTACTGATGTAGCTGGCTCAGATAGTCGTTGAGCCTTTGAAATTTACTCCCCCTCTATTGTTTTCCATGTTTTAAAACCTGTAGTGATTATTGAACAAGACTAGGAGTACGCGATTCCGTAATGTAACTGTGTCTGATAGTTGATTAGACTGTTTTATATTAAATGTCTAATTTATCAGAATACAATCTCCCATCCAAGCTGTTTAAACTAAATTCGGGAGCGTGCGAAGCAGGCTCTAGTGGTGCAAAGGTTTAATATAAGACCTAGTTGACTAATTTGAGAAGATTAAAAAAATTGTTAAGTTAGTTATTTATGATAAATATGCGTTAGCTTTCCTAGAATACCATTACTGATCATATGCATTAGAACTACCATTTGATGGAACATTTAACATGTGCAACTATTACAAGGACTACTTTAAAAAAATAGATAAATATAAAAAAAACAAAGTGAATTAGGATCTTATATTTAAAACTAAATTAAAAGTCAAACTAGCTCTAATATTAAAGACCGAAAATAGTATTAGTTAATATAAAGGGGGGAAGATAGTTCAATACTAGTTGAAGTTTTTTTTCTTTTTAATGAAATGGATAATTTTCATTGCAAAATAAACTATACAGAGTCAAGCGATATACAAGCAGCAAAATTTATATGGTTAAATTGAAAGTGAAAAAACTTTTCAAGGAATGCCTACCTATAGCACGAATGGTTGTCAAAATATTTTCAACAATATAATTCCTACTAGAAAATAGATGGTAATTCCTTGCTTCCCAAATTTCCAACAACTTATGCAAAATCCAATTTTCCAAGAGCTTTTTAGGTTTGGATGCGGCAACTGATGAGTTAACTAGTAAGCAATGTATTTCCCAAAGAAATCTATGTACATATCATTTGGAAGAATTTTCTTCCACACTGGTGAAGCCAAAGGACAAGTTTTAAGGACATGATTAAGATCATCTGTGTTTGCACAGCAAAGAGCACATCTTTGATCTGATGTCATATCTCTTCTATATCTTTCAGCATTAGCGAGCAATTTCCCTTTAACAAGAAGCCAAGTAAAAGTCCATACCCTCTGAGCCATTGGAAGCTTCCATAATCAGGTCCACTTTTTTTCAACATTATTCCAATTCATGTTCTCTGAAGCATGATAAGCCAATCTAGTGGTAAAATCTCCAGATTTCGTCAGATGCCAAAAGCAAGAATGAGATTGAGCATTTTGATAAGTCAAAACTGCTATTAAATCTTTTAGGACATCTGGAGGTAAAAGATTATGAATCATGCTCCACTTCCATTGGTCATAGTTGTCTGTATAATCAAAAATGGATTGTTGAAGATCATTTTCAGGTATGGAGTTGAAGGATAAATTCTTCAAAAGGCCACAGTCTCCAATCCAAAAGTCTGAGCAAAACCAAATTTTACTTCCATCACCAGGTTTGCATTTAACATGAAAATAAATGTCTTGCCACATGTTCACTAGATTCCTCTAGAAATAAGAACAGCAAGGATTGGCAGTCAAAGTATCATCATTGAGATCATATTTACCCTTTAAAACATGAACCCAAAGAAGATTAGGCTCTGAGATCATTTTATGAATCAGCTTAGATAAAAAAAACTTTATTTTGTGATTGAAGCCTAAGAAGGCCACAACCACCATTTTTTAAAGGCTGGCATAATTCACTCCATTTGACAAGACTACTTCCATGATGGCCCTCTAAATAACCCCATATAAATTTTTTGATGATTTTTTCAATTTCATTGCAACAAGAGGTGGGAAGCAAGTTACCCTACATGGTGTGGAGGAGCATCGAAGTCAAGACTAATTTGGCTAAAGTGATACGACCAGCTAGAGATAAAGATTTACTTTTCCAACCCGCAAGCTTAGATTGTAGCCTTTCAATGACACATCTGTAAGTTTTTGAAGATACTCTACCAGCAATTAAAGGCACACCCAGACACTTTCCTAGGGATTCAATTTGCCGATAGCGATACTAGTCGAAGTTTTAATTCCTTAGTCCAAGGCATTGACTTTGAAAACATTCCATCTTGGGGCTTTGGATCTCGTAGGCACCTCTTCAAGTTACCCAGCTAAAAAATACTACCTCCGGTCCTAATTATAAGAACCAGTTGACTAATTTGAGGAGATTAAAGAAGTAAGTTGAGTTAGTTATTTGTCCTAAATAGGTATTGTTTTTTCTAAAATATCCTTGCTAATCAAGTATATTGACTAGAACTATCATTGTTAGAAGGGCTATTTTGAAAAAATATATATATAAATATAAGAGACAGAGTGGATTGGGGTCTTATATTTAGGACCAAAATAAAAGTCAAACAGGGTCTTATATTAAGGACTGAAGGTAGTATCTTGTTTTATCTTTGTTCTGTTGGACTGTAATTGCTTTCACTCTCCGCGTCATGGAAAGCTGTCCAGACTTCCAACAGCAAGATCAACAGCAAGATCATTTTGGGATAAGAATCAGAGTCCAATTTCCAAGACTAAATTCTTGTATACGTTAAATTTGATTATGATCGACGACAATCTATCAAGTAGCATGTTATAAATGACCTAAAACGACCAAGTGGATGAATTGGAACGACAGTCTGAGATTTGAAGGAAAATTTCTTATAATGGAAAGAAAAGGCTCTAGGTAAATATTTTATAATGTAACCTCAAATTTTCTCGACTCCGTCCCTGTACTTTAATTAAATAGAGATGAATTATTCAAATGAGTCAACACATAATACGATTCAAGTCACGAAGCCACCCAAAGATTCTAAATCTTTAAATAATATTGGATGATACATGATTTACATACAAACGGACGGCCTTACACAAGATGACGAGCAAGGGGAGGAGAAAAAATAGAGCTAAGCAACCTACTTGACAAATTTTTTACATGGAATCACCAGGATTCTTCATTAAAACATGTTTTCCAAATCCTAGTGGTTCCCAAGGGAAACATTAAACTAGCACGTCTTATTTGGCCTCTTTTAAAAGTCAAACTGGACAAACTTATCTGCCTTGACTGCAATCACTATCCTCTTCTGATATATTAAACAAGAACTTCGGAAGAGATGCTATTCGAGGGAGATGGAGAAGCAAATCTCCAAAAGAATCTTTCCTGGACATACCTGGAGCTTGCTTGCCCCCAGAAACATCCTTAGTGTCCTCTTCAGCAACCTTGGCATCAGTTCTATTTTTGTTATCTTGCATCAATTCGATATTATGATTCAGATTAGGATTTTCATCAGGTTCTACAGCAGTAAATCCCTCAGTATTATGTGGATTCTGCGCAGCCGCAGGATCCTGCAGAAGACAACAAAGAGAATTGACCCTAGACATGAGTGATTTTTCATCAGACGTCGCTGCAACCTGATTGTCACTGAGTAGGTGCTGTGAAATGTCCTCTAGCATTTCCCGTAACTCAGCTCCGCCAGAAGGTGGATTCCCAGAGTTTATTTGCTCTGAAAGACATTGTTCAATGTGGCTCATAAAATCACTTACGGACATTGAAGGGCGGAGCCCAGGCACCTTTATCTGATCCCAATTTCTTGGATCCTTGGACTCAGTTTCAGAACATCCACTACCTTCAGTTAAGAGAGTCCATAATCAAAATGTAAGAGATGAGTAAACTGATTCATTCTAAGAGCAAATGAAAAAGAATATACAGCAATAAATAATGTACAAATATTTTTCTCTCCAATGAAAAAGAGCAGACGAACGAACAAATGAGTAAGGATACTGGCCAGGGAAGTCAAATACAAGCCAATTCCAAACGTACCTGAACTGGGGGAAGGCACTTCTCGGGACCGGCTATCCAAGGTTATGCAAGAAGGATCACTGATTTCAATATTGAATGATGATGACTGGGAAGCATGAGGTGATCCTATGCCCTGCACGCAAGATGAGACAGTTACCTTATCATTGACTTGATTAAGACAATGATCCTTGGATTCATCCGGCTCCACAAAAGCAGCTGGTCGTGTATCAAAATATGGTGAATCCAAAATTATTGCTGGCTGCTGGCTTAGGAAATTAAGTCGTGCATCACACTGGATAAGCTTTTCAAAATGCTTGTTCAGCAGTCCTTGTGGGCATTGCAGAAAATGCTGCCTACAGAACAACAAAAGAGTGTTCCCAAAACATCTGAAACCCTGTATATATATAAGAGGGGAAGACCAAGCATGCAGTACAACCCTACATTCCTACTGCAAATTAAAATGAAGTGTCTGATGAAATACTATCTCTAGTCCTAAATATAAGAGCTAGTTAACTAATTTGAATAGATTAAGGAAATAAGTTAAGTTAGTTACTTGTAATAAATAAGTGTTATCTTTCCTAAAATATCCTTACTAATCAAGTTTATTGACTAGAACTATTATTATTAAAAGGACTATTTTGGGAGGCAAAAAAATGAACAAATATGAGAGACAAAGTGAATTGGGGTCTTATATTTAAGACCAAAATAAAAGTAAAAAAAAATCTTATATTAAAGACCGGAGGTACTATTTTACAATTAAGACCACTACTGACCAGAAATGCTGTCAAATGTACAGAGTCATGAAAACAATTCAAAAGAGAAAAGGAGAGATGTCAAGGCAACATGTTTTTCAAATGACACTTTGAGCTCTCCCCCTCTATCTCTGGTAGGAAAGCATTTGGTTCCCATTGGTAATTGGATTTTGATCTTCCAGAGTGGTTCTATTGAATGTCTGTTAAATGCTATAACTACCTCTCTTAAATTATAAGATTCTTTCATAACGTATCAATTTTTCATATGAGATCAATTCACGACAGCTAATTCAACACTCATGACACAGATGACAACGTGGTTGGGGAAAAGGACCTGTATTTGCTAGCTTGTCCATCAGTAAAATCTGCTGTGGCTTGCCATAGCGTATGCTTTCTAGGCTGTGGATTAGTCTCCCTGAAGAAAAGAGGCTGCCGAGCCAGCTGAAAAATAACTCCAAAGTTCAAACCATGACTCAGAAAGATAACAAATTTTAAAGAGCTATGGAAGAGCATAATATAAAGAAGAAAATAGCGAAATCAATTACCACTACAGACAGTGTACTGGGTCCATTGTCAGGAAAATTTGCATTAAGTGCCATAATATCCGACCATTGAATTTCTATCTTACTCTTTAGGCCACCTTCAAGAACTTCCCAAACAAGCTTATGCTTTGCAAAGTAACACTTTGCTACCAAGTCACCCTCATATTTAGATTTATACTGCAAGAAAAATAGCCTTCAGCAATGCCGAATTCAATAACAAACCTGTTCTCTCAAACAAGTAGCAACTTGAGCATACCTCCCAAGAACCAATTCTTAAAAGTGAAGCTGGAAAATTCGAAGCCTTAAGCTTATCACCAGCACAGGATGTATTAGCAACTCTGCTCTCCCCTTTCACACCAGAGCTTAAGTTTTTATTTTGTGTGTTTGCAGGAGTTGTACTCCCTTGAGCAAGCTTCATTTGAATCAAATCTAACAATGAAGGGCTCTTCCTCAGACGCAATCCCAAGGGGCTAGGCTCATCAAGTATGTTGTATTGTGAAGGATGATTGTTGGATGTATCAGTTGAGGCACTCCGTTGCTAACCAATTTGACATACAATGCAAGAGATGAAAATGTTAAAGACAGAACCTCTTAAAACTTATTGATTATGCTATAGCCATAAGGGAAAACAAAGCCAAGAATAAATAACAACAACGACAAAGCCTTATCCCACTAGGTGAGATCAACTACATGAATCGCATGACACCATTGAGCCCTATCCAAAGCCAAAAATAAATAAATAGAGACAATTTTCAACTAGGTTAGAAATCTATGGGAATAATCTATAATCTCAGCTTCTTGTATATTCAGCGGACCTCTGAATCTGATGGCAACGTCTCAACTATAAATACTGGTCTGTATTTAACATCACCTAACCCTAAAACCATCAGCCATGCATCCTTGTATGCATATCAATTTGTGAGTAAAAAATTTTAATATATATAGATATATATATATATATATATATATATATATCAAAATGGAGTTTGTTTCACATATTACATAATTCATTACATAACTAAATTATTAAAGTCAGCCAATCTTCTCCAATAGATAAAGATTATGGAAATAATAGATCAAATACCACGCGATACCTAAATATCTAGGAGAAGTTGTGTCTATGTGTCATGCGTTAAGGAATGGATATCTAAAACATGCATATCAATCTTCCCATTACAATTGCTGCCATTAACAATATGGAATTTGGAACTCCTCACTATAATGTGGAAAAATAAATAAGTCAGACCCAGTTTTATGTCACCGACGATGAGCTTTTGAATGACTCGATCCGAAAAAATTAAACAAATACTGCAAAAAAAAAAAATCACTTTGTTTAACTTTTTTTTTTTTTTTTAATAAATTGAAGCAATATGGCTAGCAAGTGCAAAGACAAGAAGGAAAAGAGTTAAATAATGAAAGCACAAAACCACATTTTCCATAATCCTTATAACACCGCTTGTCCGCAAAGGACGAGAGTCAGACAAAAATCCTGAATTCCACCTCCTTCCACTATCAAAATCCTAAACTAAATCCAACAATGACCCTTCACAACACACTTCATCATCCAGATGTTGATCAGAATTGCAAAGCTCTTCCACCAGTATCCAAACAACCCAAACTAACAGATTACATACCTCTTGCGAATCCATGGAAGGCCTACAACGCTTGTTCAGAGGTCCATGCTCTTCTTCCAGAGGATCCTCGATCTCCAACTTCACCGGCACCTTGTCACAAACATCCGGTTTGTTTTCAAGCTCCAAACAGAGATTCCCGGACTTCATCAGCTGAACCATCAATTTTTCCACCCAACAACTTTCGAAGAAAAAAAAAATGCAACGATTCAAATGAATCCGAAATCCGGAGCAAAATCCAATGGAGGGAGTTATGATCGAGAAGACGGAGATTTCGAAAACCCTAGAAGAAAGTTTCTTTAGGAAAATTGCCTGATGGTGTTGTGAAATGTGAATTGAATTGTGAAAGATGGCTTATAGCCCATAACCGTATGCACGTGAAGAATCCGCGCGTGCGACTCTGACCAAGGCCATCAGAATGAATTGACTAAAATACCCTTGAGCTGGCTGGGTAAAACCAGCGTTGGATTTGGCCGGTTTTGTCATTTCAATGCAAATTCTTTGAACACTAATTTGAAAGCTTTGGATATAATGTGGGACCGGCATTTCGCTTTACATGACGGCGGTGTTGATTGCGCGAGAAACGTGGAGGAAGATCCCGCGGTTGCTTAAGAGATATGATTACTCATGTTTCCACGTCACTTTCGCCCCCCGAAACTAACAACCATGCAAAGGAATATTTCGACTTGGAGTTCATTATTAGGCGGATTATGTAGAATTTGGGTTTCGTCATTTGTTTAATTTTAAATATATTAATATATAATACTTATATTTATGGTCCAATTCACCTTTTTATAAGGGTCAAATAAGCACAAAAACCCGCAAACCCATTGGCATAAGTTTCAGCCTGTAACTTTTAAAGAAGGGGTATGATACAGTCAGATTCAAGAGTTTTTGACAATGCCAAATTCATCGGCTATCTCCCGGTCCTTAATATAAACAATAAACTTTTATATTGATCATAAATATAAAACCTAACTCATTTTATCTCTCATGTTTATTTATTTTTTTCAAAGTAGTCCTTATAATAATGATAGTTCTAACCAATACATTTGATTAGCAAGAATATTTTAGAAAAAACAATACATATTTATTACAAATAACTAATTTAACTAGTTTCCTTAATCGATCCAAATTAGTCAACTGGCCTTTATATTAAGAACCGAGACGATGTTATAAATTGCACTGTTCATATTATCATTACATTTATAAACGATGGATAGTACAATCATGGCTCAATCAAATAAGAAAAAAATTTTGAGAAAAATGACCAAGTAAGTGTTTATTAATGTCAAAATTTTGTCTAGTGTTGCATTAGTGTGCTAATATACTTTGCAACTAACCTGCATCTCCACAAATTAAATGGAACTATTTCGTCCTCATGATGAACAACATTCGCACAACTAACTTAATTCTGAATTGCATAGATTGTTACAAGCAGAAGATGTCATGGGGAGATTGAGTCTTTGAAAAGAGCTCGAAACATAGGTGAGTAATTACAACAGAGCACTCATCACAAAATTGCATGGGAGCCTGATCACAGGGAGAGATCAGTTGCGAACTAGAATTCTGAGAGCCGAAGATGATTCTGTTAACTCGTAGATTTTCAGCAGATTCACATACATATCAAGAGACAAACTAAGTTTGGCCAGATTTTATGCAGTGATTGAGATGAAATGATGGTAAAAGAGGCAACATACAGTTCTGATGGGGTGTGTGGTGTAACCTAAATCGACCTCTTGCGGGTTTTGTGAATGAAATGATCTCACAACTAATCACAAAGAAGTTAAAAGATTTGGTGAATTCAAATAGAGGATGGAATTGGAATGTGCTTAACCTGTCGATCTCAATACTTAGAGGAAGCAAAATTGGTTTTGTGGAACACTATGATACCAAATCAATGGGGAGAAGAGGCTGGGATAAGATGGAAAGGATGAAGAAACGGTGGTTTTACACGTGATTTTCTATGGTAACAATCAGCTTGTTTTTGAGATTGCACAAATTAGTCCCAAGAACCAGAGTTGAGATACACATTATTATTTTACAGATTTTAAGATACTTGAAATTGAAGATCATCAAATAAACACCTGCAGATAAACCAAACTGTTATGAACTCTGATTCCACCACTAACAGAGTCCAGTGGCTAGAGTAAATTATAAATAATACGGAGAGCTGCCAGGGCAAGCAATAGTAGGGTGGAAGATGCAATGATATATAATTGAATACAAATATAACAATAGATTTATGGTACAGGGGGATGAACTAAAGTCGCCAAACTACCTGACTTCATTTGAAAAATAAGACAACAAGCTATCCCCTTCACGTAAAGTACAAGAGACTCCCACTGGATTGGGAATGCCAAGAAGCAACGCGGAAGTACACAGGCTTTGACAAGGAATAGCAGGCATAACCTCTATTTAGCCTGCCTGTTTACTTTCAGATATGGCAAGGCTCCGATTACGTTGTCATAGTCACTCCTGCTGACTGCATGCTGTGAATGACCAATAAAATAAGAGTTAGACATGCAAATGCAACCCCGTACAGCATTGGAAGCTGTAAATCTCACATATTTTACCAACTCAGACTGCTTCCAGCCAGAAAAACGAGAACTTCAAAGATGCAGAACAGTAATTTGCAGTAAAATGTCATACATGTTATATGAATTCAAAATAGATATCTAAATGTGATGACAATATCCAAATCACAAAACAGTTCAGTTGACTTTCATGACAGTGAGATGAGTTTTTAATCAAGTTCAGCCAGGGCACAGGGCTCTCTATATGACCTTATTATGATGCATGCGTATGCTAACTACACAATCTTTCCATATTTATAGCAGGAATTTGAACAGTTGAAATTTATTTATTTTTTAGCAATCCACATATTAGGTTGAATCTCTTTAAATTAAGAATATGAAAGGACCACAGCCTCAGTTATGATTTACTGAAACAAAAAAATATATGATGCAAATTGACTACAGATGAAATGAGTTCTATACACCCATAGTCCTATATGAAATGGAATGAGCCTCCTATCCCCAGGCATACAGCTTTTAAAGCCCGGCTCCCCTCCCCATTTTTGGCTGAGCTTCCAAAATTCAGATTCTCAAATAAGCATATATGAGGTTACACTAGCTAACCTGAGAAATCCACAATCAAGTCTCTTTGTAATAAACACAAGAAATAACATTCTTGATATGAACTTGATAAAGATGAAAAATAACAATTTAAGCGCACCCAAAAATAAGAAAAAGGAACCTCAAGCGTTGTTGGGGTTTTACCACAGATCACAATTTATGGATTATCTACGGCTGTAGCTAAAATATTCAGCTTTTTGCTATAGATTTTAAATTTAAATATTACTTTCTTGCTCTCCATATAGAGAGAAAAAGACACATTCTAGTTTACAAATTATCTGCTCTATAGAAAAGTCAATCACTTGTTTAACTGGAAAAAGTGAAGAGTATAGGGTGAACTTGAGAAACCTTTCAAAGTTATACGTAGAATTCTTTTTAATCAAAATTACTCTAGAGAATGTGTTAACATTTCTTTTAACCATCAACCGATCAATGGCAAAATAAATAAATTACCCTAGCTAAACCATACTGCAATGTACAAATATAATAAAATCAAATCAGGTAAAGTAAAATAAGTAAGGAGTGTAGATAAGCCAGATTGCGAGAACATATGGAACCAGTAAATAATAAGCCAATCAAAGTTGAAGAACAACTACCAACGAATTTTCGCTCAGTAGTACTAGCCTCAGAGCTGAAAGACCCAAGCCCAAATTCCAATCACGTTGAAATCACCAAAAAGAGTTGAAGAACTAGGGCGCATTGTCTAAAAAACTAAATGGAATGTATCGATACTCTACATCCTATGCTGCATACAGCATCTTTCAAAGTTGAAATTCTGTAATAATGCCTTCAAGGATTTATGTTATTGCTGCAAGTAGCAACGCTTCAGACCAGTGAATTTATGCGTAACCTGAGACCTTTCGTAATAAAGTTAAATTAATGTTTGGCTATCAAAAGAAGCATTTCCCTTCAGCAATTGTTGAAATTGCACTTACTCGCCCATATGAGAAAATCAACAAGTTTAAGTGATATAAAAAAAAAAAAAAAAATCTCACCATTTTGGAGAGTCGTAATTTTCTCTTTGTATTCTTCTTGGCCAGCAAATGCTGCTTTCCAGCCCTCCTGCGCACTATTTTTCCTCGACCTGTCACTCGGAACCGCTTCGCTGATGCCTATTAACGAAATTCAGATAGAATTCAAAGAATAGAAACATTTAACTTCCCGATATTCCAAGGAAAACAGAAGCGAAGGTTAATATCTATTCAATTGCCTTACAATATGAAACGAAAAAAGTGACAGCCGGAAATCCTATTTTACAATATGAAGCAGCCACAAACACACAGAGGAAGTAACCTTGTGAGTTTTCATTTTGTAGCCTTTAGCGGATACAACGGTGAGAGGACGAATCCTTTGAGGAAGAGGAGAGCCGGTGCACAGCCTTAAAGGAACAATTGAGCCACATCCAGAAATGCTACTTAACGAGGTCAGTTTCGTCTTGTTGAACGGTGCAAAGTGAACTGAGCCGAAAGAGACACGGGAGGAAGAATAGCTTGCCGGAGGACATCTGAAACCAAACGACACTATCGCCGTCGCCGTCGCCATTTTTCTGGCTGTTCTTTTTGGCAAGGCTCTGCTACGCCTTTAAGTCCCACCTTGTGGCTGTGGATAAAGGCCGGGTTATGGCCTGTGACTCTAGTGGTGCCCGCACAGCTATCGGTTACGCGGGCTGGGTCACGACCCTCCCTCTTTTTTCTGGGTCTTTTGGGAGATTAGAATAGAAGACCTGTCAAAAGAAATATTTATTAAAAAATACCACAAAAATTAGAATTACTTAAAAAGACTACAATTTAAAATATTGATTCTAAAAGACCAAATTATCTCTATCCCACATTCATCTGTCTCCGTGATTTTTCCACCCTCAATGCAGTAGTAGTTGCTGTTTTCCCTCCCTGCTATTTTATATTTTTAGGTATTTATTTCAAAATAATGTAATTATATTTTTCCCACAAGCTTTTCCAAAAGTTGGAACTTCCCTAAGCTATATGCACACAACTTTTTTGTTATTCATACTCAGAATTTGCAATTATTAATAACATTATTATTCTAAAATCTTCAAGTTTTCTTGTCGCAAATGATAATATTTAAAACTATTTGTTACTCACCATCCAAAAGCTAACATTTGATGGTTTTTCAATTTTGTATAGAGTAAGATGCGACGGTTGATGGAAAAGAAGAATAATTAAAATTTTATCTAAAAAAACCTGAAATGTCGTAAGAGAGAGAATATAAAAAGTCTAGTTATGGGTGATTTAGTATTTTTAAAATTATATTTTAATTTTTGGTCTTTTAAAATAATTACGGTTTTTAAGATCCTCTAGAGTAAATATTGTTTTTTTCTTGGTCCGTAGTTCTAATTCTCCCTTGTTTTTTTTTTTTAATATACACAGTTTTTAGTAAATGGTGCCTAAACTAAAAATTTTGTGCAACTTAACTTTCTTAATGCGCAACTTAATTTTTCTTATATACAATACATCTTTCCTTGTGTACAATTATGTTTTCTTGTATCACATCTTCTCTCTATGCAATTAAACTTTTCTTGTGTGTAACATATCTTTCCTTGTATATGTGACATCTTTTTTTGTGCAACTTATCATCACATGGTCCGTTTGCTAATTAATTTTCTAATGAGAAATTAACCACCAATTTTTCCTTTTTTTCTTGGGGTGCAAGTACACAAGGATATGTTACTGGCATCAAACGCTTTGCTTACCATCCTAAACTAATTTTTAATATACCACTTTTAATCTTTAATATAAAAGCTAATTAACTAATTTAAGCAGATTAAAAAAATTGATTAAGTTAGTTATTTGTGATAAATAGATGTTGTCTTTCATCAAGTATTCTTGCTAATCAAGTGTATTGACTAGAAATATCATTATTATAAGGACTACCTTAGAATTAAAGTCTTATATTTAAGATCAAAATAAAAGTCAAACCAACTCTTATATTAACCACCGGAAGTAGTATTTAATATTTTAAATTTTTTTTAGTAGTACTAAATATTTTAAAATAATTTTAGTGCAATTTTGTTTTTAGAATATTTTTCTCAGCAACAACATTATAAATACAGAATACTAAATATTGTTGAAAAAATATTTTAGAATACTAAATATACAAAAAAATAATTTATGATATATGGGTGCTATTAAAAAAATTCTTTAAGATGCCAAATACAATACATCAAAAATTATTTAAAAATACTGCTTAATATTAAGGAATATTTTAAAATGTTGGATGCTATTTAACCTATGTTTTGTTATAGAGTTTTTCATCTCACAAAATAGATGCAGGGGTGGAAACAAACAAGACCAGGCTTTGTCCTTAACAAACCAGGCATGTTTAGTGACATGCTAGCCTGAACCTGGCCTGTGACCTATAATAGGCTATTTTTCTTAGTCTAAACTTAGCCTATATAAAGACCTGGCCTGGTCTAAGCCTATTAAAAAAACCTGTAATTTTAAAATTTCAAAATGCATAGTAAAAATTTCATTAGCGAATAAAAAATGATAAAATAGACATACTACATAATAATTATTTTTTATTATTATCTTTTATTTAAATTTTAACGTTATGAGTAATATTTTAAATCTTAATTATAGTTAATATTATTAAAAACAAGTTATAATTATATATTAAAATTTAAAATAAAATTAGATATAAGTACAAAATAAAAATTAAAAATAAGATAATAAACAAGCCAAGCCAGGCCTAACAGGCTTTTCAAAAAGCCTAAGTCTGGCCTATTAGGCTAAACAGGTCATCAAAAAGACCTAAACCTTTTTTCTATTTTAAAAGAGGCCAGGTTAGACCAGGACAAATACAAGCCAGGCTATAGGCCCTTGATAAGCCGCCTGGCCTATTTCTACTCCTAGATGCAGAGCACAACAATTGCTTAATTCCAATTCAGAAAAAACTTTGATTGAAGTAATATCTCCTCAACATACAGGTTTAAAGGGATCTCAATATACTTATATTTCTCCAAGTTGATGGAATGTTCCTGAGGGTACTGCAAATGATTATTAATTAGTTTTTTCTTAAACTTCTTAAAAATAAATAATCAAATGAAATAGTTTGACCAAAAATAATTGATGAGCAATGCCGAAAAATTGCGCGCAAATTTCTCCAATTAACATACTAATGATCGAGCCAAGACAAAATACACAGTTTTAATTATCTCTGTTGATTCATGAGCTTTTAGTCTCAAAACCATATCAACTAGACACAATTTTTCACAATTTTATTACTAGTAAATAGTATTGGTATTATATATCATAAATATAAAAGTGAGTTGACTGCAAAATCGAGCTGGTTCAATAACACTCTATGCCTCCTTTCACAAAGGATGTTATGTACCCACAAGAACCAGAGTGAGGGAGTTGGTGTGTGTGAAGTGTGGATGTGTGGATCCCTCCTCCTTGAGGAAGGTTTTAAATTGTCTAATTCATGAAAAAGACCAGCTGACTAATTTTAAAAAATTTAAGAAGTTAAATAAATAATTTAATCTTAGTATATGATAACATGATCTCTCTAAAATACTTATACGTATCATTAGAATGCCATTTTATCCTAATTTATTTAGTTTCACTAATCTCCCCAGATGAGTTAATTAGATCAAAACCAAAAGTAGTATATTTTATAATTTAAATGTTGAAGGTATTTGCCAATGCGAAGACATGAAAGTTTCCCTTGAATTCCTTTAATTCCCCAAAAAAGAAAGCCCAATTTTATATGATGATATTATTAAAAAAAAAGACAATTGAATAAATACATTATGAGTAATTTAATTAATATCTTAAACAATTCAATAATTAATCTAATTGGAAAAAAAATTAGATACTTAGGCTTGTTTTATAGACAAAATGAAACTCGTAACTTTTCTTTTTATTTTGTTTTCCAACGGAAACTCGTATCTTTTCATTCGTTATGTTTCTAAATCTGTTTTATATCATGTAAATAAATTTTTTGTTTAATAAAATGACTTTAATTTTTTTTTTAACAAGAAAACCAACATAAACCAACACTGTAGACTTCCATTCAATATTCCCACTTCAATTGGCAAACTATAATTTGTTCAAACATCATTTTTACAGCCGATAATCCAAATAGCTCTAACCTCAAGAATATTGTGGCATTTAAACTTGTACACGCTACCGATAACCAAGAGTAAGTTCGTTCATGATTTTTAAACATTGGTTCCGATATCCAGATAAACAAAACAACATCAAACGCACAAGCAGCTCAAGCTTTATAATTTATATCAGTATACTACTTTTATTTCTTAATATAAAAGCTAGATAGATATTCAATTTGATTATAAATATAAAACCACAATCCATTTTGTCTTCAATATTTACCCATTTTGTTTTCAAATAATTCCTATAATGATTACACATGGAGTTTTCATTAAAAGACAGTTTCAATACAAAAAAAAAAAAAATCAATTTATTATAAATAACTAACTTAAATAATTTAATTAATATTCACAATTTAGTTGCATGGCTATAATATCAACAACTGGTGGTAGTATTTGAATTCATTTTAATTGCTAGCGGGTACTTGCAACTTTCATATTTCTTCCCATGATGCAATGTTTTCCCATAAAATCCACAAATTTTTTGGACCCAAAAAGTCCTCATAACTCAACTTCTCTGTATACTGTAGAAATGGAAAAAAGGATATAGAAACCTATTTCCATACAAATGCTAAATGAACTGAACATTGCAGCAGAGTCATGCGGGATAAGCTTCATTTCCATCCAATAAATTCAAGAAAACTTCCTTCTTCTTTTTTTTCCAGGGAAAACTTACCCTGGCATTGTACAACAGATTCCAATCAGAACTATGAGCCATTAAAGATTGGAAATTTACGCATTATTGTTTTGTCAATATGGCTATTGCTTCCCACTCCAAACCACATATCACATCCTGCAAAGCGATTCATTAAAATCGTCAGTAAAGAACGTTCTACCTTCTGCTTCTTCATTAGTTCTTCCATCATTTTAATTGGATTAACCATTTAATAGAAAACGGAAACAAGATGCTCAAACAAATCCCTCAAAGATCCATATTGTGCAAACCATGCAGGCTGCCTTCACTTACCGATGGATAATGTTGGTCAATATCAAAGCAATTAATTGAACAGGGTTCTGCTAGCAGTTCCTGAGGTTCCTCACCTATGCATAAGCACCAGAAACAAGACAAGTCAATCCGAGTTTAAGTTTCAACCAGTTTCTTTGTAATATAAAGAGCCACCACTTCATAAATATAATAATGTAAATTGTGTTCCTGATCGATTGGCATTCTAACATGTCGCAACTAATATTACATACCTTGCTTGATGACAGCAAGGATTCCATCCTCTGAGCAGATCATGGCGGGTAAGATCCGGGTAGATGACATGTTAGACTTTGTGCTACGATCATACTGAACCTCCCAAACCTCACTATCAGACACTGACTGGACTTCGTTGTTGCCGACTGCTGCCCCTGCCCTTGAAAGAATAATAGGCTGTTGCTGCCACCTAAGATCCCAGGCAAAAAGAGTACCCACGGAACCACCTGCCTGAAAATATTACAATTCCATGAATGTTAGAACTCAGAAGTAATTATCCAAAAAAGCAGTGGGCTTTTTCAAACAGTAGTTCAAATAGAATCTAAAGTTTCATTTTATTACAGAAATTACTGAGCTCGCCATGAAATTAAAGAAATAGTTATGGCAATATTTCACAAAAAATCTCACTAAGGTCCAAAACTTTGTGCTTTGTAAAATGATAAATGGGGCAAGTTAGATTATGGTAGAGATATAGAAGCATGCTGTAACTGTCAGGGCGCAGTATCACCCTTGCAATACAAAACTTGCCGGGTTATTGCCCATTTAACGGAAGTGAGTGTCCGTAAAATAATACATACACATACATACATATATAAACAGTAGAGAATGAAAATAACCCCCAATGTAAGAATAGCAAGGTTTTTCAATAAATATTAACAAAGAAAATGAAACTGAGGGGAAGAGAAGACTGAAAATTAAATCAACGATGTTCCCTGCTCCCATATACGCAACAGGGCCATTCAGAAATAAAAATTAGTGGCTTACATTATTCATCATAAGATGACTTAATATGAAAAGAAATAAAGAAAAAGGGGTAACCAACTTACTAGACAAGTGTGCTTTCGTGATGGATGAATGTCAATAGAGTGCACAATCCCAGCAGTCATTTTTTGATCCCTGCAACATAACCATCTGGTGAAAATCTTAGCGGACGTCAGTTTACAATGGAAAAGTTTTGACAGATACAACACGCTTGTATTCGTAATAATGGGTATATCATACCAAACGCACTTGACAGGTTTCAAACTTGTAGGTATTTCTTGGTACAGCACACCACAATCATTAAGCCCTAAACTTCCTACAATCTCACCAAACTCACCATTGAACCACACCAAGAAGCTTTACCAGCATTTCCCTAGAATCTAGATATTATTCAATAACAGAAGCAATATACAGAGTAGCGGTACTTTTAATCATTGTAACTGGAATGTGGCTCATCATAATTATAATTGTCTCCTGACAGATGTTCCTTTTATTTTATTGTGTACATACAACTACAAGACTACCAAATGATTCAACCTGCATTAAAAATGTTCAAAAGGAAAACGAGATGCAGGGAGAATAATATGACTCTTGATGGAAAATGCCAGTAGGCCACTGAAAAATCTGCTCACCAGTCACCCTTAAACTGTGAAACTGGTCCGCCGGGTTTTCTCTGGTCCCACCAATGTAGACTAAATCCATATCCACCGGTGGCAAACTCCACCGGCGACGCCCACTTAGCTGTCGTGTAGGACACCAGGCCACTGCTATCAAAAACCCGATTATAACTTAAATTTGAATTCCCAACAGTGACCAAATTGACCCTCCCATCTTCCGCAACACTCACACACTGGGCTCCACCATCCATTAGATCAATGGATGAAATTGGTCCCCGATGCAGTTCATTCTCCGGCACTGAAACTTCTGATTCCAGAGACGCGTCAGTGGAATTAGAGAAAAGGAAGTGCAGAGAGCCAGCAAAAGTTGAGGCAGCAATGAAGGTTTTCTGAAGGAACTGTGAGGTTTTGAGGGAGGAGACTCTGGAAGGTGAAACCCATGAAGAATGAGGTTCTAAGGCTGCTGGATTAGGCTTAAAAGAGTGAATTTCGATGGAAGAAGCATCGGAATCAGAATCAAATGAAGCAAGAACCGCAAATCGATCGAATGGTGATAGCGGTGGAAGCCAACGAACTGCGTCGACGTATTTATATTGGGGAAGCCTCTGGATTTCTGGACGCTCAGAAAGTGGTGTGACAGCCATTGCTAGGTTTTACAGGGTTTTGCTGCAGAAGAGTGAGACAACAGTCCGAATGGGAAAGGCGAAGAGGAGGAAGAGAGTGGAATTGTCATACATCATTAAGGGACAATGCCAAAAAAAAAAGAAAAGGAATTTTGTAAAGGGAAAATTTCATTAAAAGACCTCTGCAACAACATAATTTCAATTCAAATCTAAGCAATTCTAAAACTTCACTGTAGGCTGTTGGGGGCAAACTGAAATTAAGGGTGTGTTTGGATGAAACCAAACCGTGGTTTGGAAAAGTGATTCTAGAGAATAGATTTTGGGGAGAATAGATTCTGTGAAGAATAGATTTTGTAAAAAAGTGATTCTAAGAAGTGAGAGTGTTTGGATAGTTGTTATCAGAAGCACTTTTTATATATACAAATTACTAAAAAAAACATAAGTTAATATGATAATTACAAAAAAAAATAGATTTTATGATATATTTTAATTTGAAGGAATAAAATTGTTAATAATATATTTTTTATCAACATAATTAATAATACATAAGATAATATAATTAATAAATAATTAATATGTATATATATTTATAAAATATAAGATTGAATATGTTTATAAAAAATGTATTTATAAAAAAAGTAACAAGATACATATCATATAGGCTCTCACACTCTCCCTTTTTTCTCCAAAAGCAAAAAAAATTTGTTTTTTCCAAAACCATGGTTTTGGAGTCAAAACCATGGTTTTGACCCAAAACCATGGTTTTGGTTTTTGGGGGAGGTGTTTGGGTGATCTATTCCCCAAACCATGGTTTGGGTCCCCAAACCATGGTTTAGGGTGTCACCCAAACACACCCTTAAATTGAAAAGCAAAATATCCAGGGTACTTTGAATGTTTAAAGAAGGAGGGAAAAAAAAAAGTATGATAGGGTTTTACTCTCATTCTCTTACAATAGAAACCAAATTTCCTCCGCTACATAAAAATTGTCTGTTCTCCCAGCATTTTTAGTTCACTTTCTCTCGTCTTTGATGAAAGGTATAGTCATATTTGTTAGCATTTTCTCATATTCTCTATGCTTATTCGTGTTCTCTTCACAAAAATTTCATATCCCTACAATGTTTTTTTACTACTCTATGTTCAAGTGTACCTTTTCTATTTGATTCTTTTCACATGATCTCACTAAAAATTCCATCTCTCATTCTTGTCGATAGTGTTCCTATTGCATTGATTTCAAAGAACCAATGGGTACTTTCATTTTTCGGTGAGTTATTGATACTTGTTAGCAAGTATAGTCATTGCTATGCTGTTGTCAATGTTTTTTTGTGCTTTCTGTAGCATAATCTGTTTTGTAATTTCTGGTTTTTGCGAATCTTGCTAGTGCATGTCTTTGGTTTTAAAGTAAAGAAAAATAACAAGTACACTTTCTCAGGTGCCAAATGAAGTTAGGAAATTTACATCAGGAATTAATTATATTTACAAGTTGATTGTAGCAATTCATATTTACTAGTGTAACAAGTGAAGTTAAGTAATTTTATAACAACAATTAGTGTATATACAAAACAATGGTGGTAAATTCATATTTGTTGAAGTAACAATCGAAGTTAAACCATTTACAACAAACATAAATGCATTTACAAGTTGATTGTAGTAAATTTATGTTAACTGGTGTAACAATTGAAGTTATGTTTTATTTTGAGTTTTTAATGCTCTACATGTGCAGAAGTATTCATAGTATTTACTATTGTGTTGTAATAACAACTCAATTTGTTGAGGTTGGAACTATTATGGTTATATATGTTGAAGATTGCTTTTTATTCTTAGCTCAAGAAAATTTTTTTGGTAGACTCGTGATTTCAATTAAGACACATAACATTGCTAGGTTAGATTCTCTTCAGTATGATAAATACACATCTACTATCTTTTTACAATTATCATTGACTACAACTACCATTGACTACTTGCCGTCCTGGAAGGCTTAGAACTCAGAGGATTGAATTTCAATTCTAGCAAAAGAAAATGTATCACTACTCAAAATATGGTAAAGCTGGTCATACTAAAAAGACTTATAGAAATCCAAATACTGCATGACTTTATTGTTGGACATAGTCTTTTTTAGTTTCATAATGGTACCTAGTGATAAGTTGTCCCAAGTACTTTAGTGAAATTGGGTGGTAAGTTTGTAAATGTATGAGCACATTAGTCCATTTGTAAATAGACATGTTTATGTCCTTAATCTACATACCCTTGTTACAAATTCTCAAATTTTAATTGAGAATAGTTCCTTCCAGATTTGTTAATTATCATGTTCAATTTTTTCAATTAAATTAGCCAAACTTGCAAATTGATGTGTTTTTTTTTTTTATTAATGTATGTATCCTCATTGCAAAACTTTTCCAATTAAATTAACCTACTTGCAAATAGATATATTTCTATTGTTAATTTATGTATCTTTGTTGCAAATTTGTAAGTTTCAATTGTGAATAATTCCTCCTACACTTAAAAATTATTGAGAACTTTTTCAATTAAATTAATTCACTTAAAAATGGACGTATTTTTATCATTAATTTATGTATTCTTGTTGCAAATTCTCAAATTATAGTTGTGAATAATTCTGACTACACTTGTAAATTATCAAGAACTTCTCTAATTAAATTAACTTACTTGCACATAGACATATTTTTATTGTTAATTTATGTATTCTTGTTGCAAATTCTCAAATTCTAATTGTGAATAATTCCCACCATACTTGTAAATTATTAAAAACTTTTCTAATTAAATTAACTTAGTTGCAAATAGACGTATTTTTGTTGTTAATTTATGTATCTTTGTTGTAAATTCGCAAATTCCATATGCGAATAGTTTCTCCTACACTTGTAAATTATCAAGAACTTTTTCAATTAAATTAATTCACTTGAAAATGGATGTATTTCTATTATTGACTTATGTACTCTAGTTGCAAATTCTCAAATTCCAATTGTGAATAATTCCTAAAAATTATCAAGAACTTTTTCAATTAAATTAATTCACTAGAAAATGGACGTATATCTATTATTAATTTTTGTATTTTTGTTGCAGATTCTTATATTTCAGCTATAAATAATTCCTCCTACACTTGAAAATCATCAAGAACTTTTCCGATTAAATTAACTTACTCGAAAATGGATGTATTTTTATTATCAATTTATGTATTCTTGTTGCAAATTTTCTAATTCTAGTTGTGAATAATTTCCTCCATGCTTGCAAATTATCAAGAACTTTTTAATTAAATTAACTTACTTGCAAATAGACGTATTTTTGTTATTAATTTGTATATCCTTATTGCAAATTCGCAAATTCCATGTGTGAATAGTTCATCCCACACTTATAAATTATCATGAACTTTTCTAATTAAATTAACCAATTTGCAAATGGATGTGTTCGAATTGTGAATTTATATATCATTATTGCAAATTTGGGAATTCCACTTGTGAATAAATTGTGACAATGAAGCCTCTTGTTCCAGACTTGCAGGGGCGATGATGAAGGCCCTCTTTACCAGAATAGTGGCGATGGTGAATGCTCTCCTTACCAGAGCAGCGAAAATGGCGAAGTTTCTCAGAAGCGATGATGGGTGAAGCCTCTCATTGAATACAAGAGAATGCTAAAAAATAAGACTACACCCTTCATCAGAGACGAGAGAAAGCGAAGTGAAAATACTAAGAGAATAGAGCACAAAGAACCCAAACCAGTTTTTGTGCGGCAGAGGAAATTTAGTTTCTATTGTGAGAGAATGAGAGTAAAACCCTATTAGGCCATTTTCTTTTCTTCTTCAAATATTAAAGGTAATCTGGACATTTTGCTTCTCAATTTAATTTCAGTTTGCCCCCAACAGCTTGCAATGAAGTTCCATAATTGTTTGGTCCTAAATTGAAATTATGTTGCTGTAGAGGTCTTTTAATGAAATTTCCCTTTTGTAAATGTCAAACAAGGGATGTTAATAAAAATTTGTTGTCATTTGTAAATTCATACTTGTCAATACCAAATAAAGTTATGTTACCAAATCTGATTTGAGATTTGTAATTTCTAGCTTCTTTTTATGTTATTCTTCCTATTATTAATTGTATTTATTCAAAAGCTCGGGAATTAAGGGGAAATGTTATGCTAAAATTGCACTAGGGTGTGTTTGGCACAAATAAAAAAAAGGAAAAGAGAAGGATTTTAGTAGAAGGAAAGGGAAGATAAGGAATGAGAGAAATTTTAATGTTATCTTATTTGAATTGATTAGGAAAGAGGTGAGGGGAGAGATTTTTAATGATATGATATATGATCTGATAAGAATGCAACAATTATCACTCTTCCCCACGTGATATAAGATTAAGAGGATAATACAAGAAGATTTAAAACTAATTATAAATATATTAGTTAAAACAAGCTAAAATATTAACTTTTTCTTTTAAATCCCTCTCAATTTGGGAGGAGAGGGCTATGAGGGAAGAGGAGGAAAAATCTTTAAAAAAAATTTCTCCCATCCTAAAAACTTTTAGCAGCTTGGGGAGGGGAGCAAAATCCATCCTACACCCTTCCCTCTCCTCATACCAAACAAATTCCCAAGATCCTAGCAAACAAAAATAACTACTAAAAAATGCCTATAAAAGTTACAAATAAATAAGAACTAAAGAAGATTACAATTACCATTTAGCAAAAATATGAAAAGATCTCAACAAACAAATTTACCTGTATGCTACAGATAGTAAAAAAAAAAAAACCCAAATCCTATAAAATAAAAAAAAAATTCTCAAATAATATACTTAGAGTCTGTTTGGCAAATATCTGAAACCATGGTTTTGGGACCCGAACTATGATTTGGGTAAAAAAATTTGCTAAACAGTGAGAAAAATTAATAAACCATGGTTTTTGGCCAAAACCATGATTTTGAGCTCAAAATCATGGTTTCAAAAGAAGTGAATCCATTCTGCTTCTAGCTCAAATTAGAGAGTACGATTGTGCCTATAGGAGTAGATGCCAATGGTAATATAACTTTAACACCCTTCAATTATTTTTCTATAAACATATTTAATCTTATATTTTATAAATATATATACATATATTAATTATTTATTAAT